TGTAAAGCCAATCAGTGCCGCTCGTGCTTCCGAGTTTCCAATCTGCACCTGGGTATGTATGCGCATGATACGTGCCGTATACAAGTCCGTCTCGTGGGCTTCGCTGACGATATATTACTCGTTCCCTAGAAGCCTGAGTATTTCCGTGTGTACGTGGGTATCCTTGGTACTATGGTACATGGACTTGTAGTTATCTGGCCGGCCATAAACGTAACGAGTCGGGGGAATATCTGCCGACCCAAGTAGCGTATAAAGTACAAGCTTTATCTCGCCTGAAAAAGTCCATTTTCTCTAAGTCACAAAAAATTGCCAAATTCACAATGAAGTTTCCTTATAACGGCAGACTTACCACGGCTGTGCTTACCATTTTCTGGACTGCAACATCTGCAGCACCAACAATAACATTACCACTCTCTGCATTCACCTCTTCAGTCGAATCTGACAAGGTCGCAATCTACTACCCGAATCCGTCGAATTCCACTCCGATTCTTCTCGGAAATGACGGATCACCGGCTGGTGGCTTTCATACGTGGAGTTTTTCCTCTGATTCAAGTCCGTCTCAGATGACCGAGCTAAATTTCGAATATACTGGAAGAACAAAATTAGTCGATTTTGTGTACAATCTCGGTGGGAAAGACGTGATCGTGACATTAAGTCAGTCTGATTCATTACTGCGGTTTTTTGACTCAGTGTCAGTCAGCGAATTACCAGTCATGGGAGGGAGGAAAAAGATCTGGGGAGATTTTTCTAGCTGGTGTTTCTGGAAGTCGGCAGAGGGGCACCAATATTTTTATCTTTTTGGAAAGAAAATCGTGTCCTTGTTTTTGATCAGGGAGGGGCAAAATTCCGGGATTGAGGTTTTAGAGGTTTTGTTGTCCAGGTATGCAATAAATAGATACGTAAGGGTGCTGATTTTCGGAAACCCACATAGATTCAATCATTCCCTGTCCCGATTGAAGCAAAGACTTGTATAGTTTCCTACAAGACGTCCTCTGTGTATTTTGGGGGCGATAGCGGGATCCTATATACCTTTCCGGCGCTCGAGTCTACAACGATCCCGGAAAATATAGCTGAGCTAGGGAAAGCCCCCGATGAAATTAACGGCCTGGCGATATATTCTGGTAATCTTTCCAACGATTATCTGCTTGTCGCTCTCAAAGAGTCCCTCAATATATACTCCGCATCGAATTTCACTCTCTTAGGAAGCGCTACATTCTCAGACGAAGTTGAGCTAGGCGATATTGCATTATATCAATCAGCATTCGGTACAGCTTATCCAGATGGAATACTCGCATTCGCTGCCAAAATGGACGTGGGAAAAGAGTTTCGTATGAGTTCAATCAGTGAATTGTTCACTAGCCTTTCTCTGAAGCCAAACAAGTCCTTTGAACCGAGGCAGGAAACTTGCAAGTATTGTACACCTGCCACAACCCTGAGTACTTGTCCTCAGGTACAGAACTGTACCCTAAATGGCTTTTGTACAAGTCTTACCACTTGTGATTGTTTCAACGGGTTCAATGGAACTTCGTGTGAGTCTATAAAATGCCCAAACTCCTGTTCGTCACATGGAACATGTGTTTCTGCGGGAGTTTGTTCATGTACCGAACCATGGGGTGGACCCGATTGTTCATTTTTACTTGTCCAAGCAAAGTACGAGACAGATCCGAATGGCAGTGATGGCGATGATCCGGCAATCTGGATTGCCCCTGGGAACAGCACAGAAAATTCCAGAATCATCACAACGACCAAGAGTGAACTTGGCGCTGGATTTGGTGTCTTTGATTTGACGGGAAAGAAATTGCAGACTATGGCTGCAGAAGAGCCAAATAATGTTGATGTCATTTATGGCTTCCCTGTAGGGAACAGGACGGCCGACCTGGTTTTTGCTGCCTGTCGAGGTGACAATACTCTCTGGTGAGTGCATCCAACTTTCCATCTCGATCATACCTTTCTAATTGAATTTATAGTCTCTGCGAAATCTCATCTTCCGGTGAACTAATATCCATCCCTGGAGGTACCCAACCCATTACGGTCGAGGACTTTGATGTCTACGGTTCGTGCGTCTACCGTTCGTATATCTCTGGAAAACAGTATCTCTTCGTCAATTCAAAGACCTCCGAATACCTTCAATTTGAATTAACCTCCACGGCTAATGGTACGCTTAATACTACGCTGGTTCGAACTTTCATGGGTGGAAATGGCGGACAAGTTGAAGGATGCGTTGCCGATGATGAGAATGGTTTCTTGATACTCGGCGAAGAGCCTTATGGCCTTTGGCGGTACGACGCAGAACCAAATGGCACAGCTGAAGGATATCTCATCGACCATGTCAATACTGGAGGGAACTTGATTGCTGATGTTGAAGGTGTGACGCTGATATACGGGGAAACATCCACTGATGGCTACATTTTCGTTTCCTGTCAGGGGGTTAGTGCATATAACGTATATCAACGCGCACACCCGAACGAGTATGTGATGACTTTCTCAATTACCGCCGGTTCAGTGGATGGGGTCACCAACACAGATGGAATAACAGCAGTTGGCACATCATTGGGAAGCATCTTCCCAAGGGGGTTGATCGTGGTTCATGATGACGTAAATGAGGAATCCAACGGAACGGCCAGTAGCGAAGCAGCGTTTAAGCTAGTGGATCTAGGGGATGTGTTGGATGCTGATGCGATAAAAGACATGGGGCTTTTAGGATCTGTAAATCAAGGATGGGACCCAAGGGACAGATTATCAAAAACAGAACATTTAAGCTCCGATTAAGGGCCCTGAGTAGAATAAAGAATAAAGTACCTACTATATATAGCAAGCAATCAGAATTAATATGACACGATTGTTTTTTTATCGGATCATAACTATATTTTGGCTGACTAGCAAGCTGTTAGTTGGTCACCGGAATTTACGTGTATGTAGACTCCTGATTCGATTCCCAAATTATAAAGTCAACACCCTATCAACATCAGTTGGAAAGTAAATGTACATATCTATAGCAGCTATTTACCAAGAGATTTAAGGAAATCCTCCATATAACGAGTGATCATCTATGATTAGGAACCAAAATGACTGTCATGCCGGCTGTAGATATTGAATTGACTACCATCTTCTTTCCATTCGGGCAATTTCGCTTTGCTTTGTGGCTTTGTTTAACTGGATATAAAACGTACATGTCTGCAGTATATCAATTCAATGGAGAAAAAGGTTTATACGACCGTCTTGAAGATACGCGCGCGCGTCATGTGTAGCATGCAAGTAAGTTTAGTAGCTTTCAAACCGCTACACCAATTACAGCCACTCAAACCGAACTAAAAAAATATAAGGTTTTCGGGGCGTACCTAAAAAGTGCAAATCAATAGGTCTTATGTAGGACTCAAAGGGCTCGGATCAATTCTTCCAAAGTCTTAGACATGGCAAAATGAGACACTGGTGTATCGATCTTATCTAGTCTAGATCAGGAGTTACATGTAATTATGGAAGATTTAGGTACCCAATCTACATGCATGTACATGTAGAGTAAGCACCTACTCGTACTCATAGAATAGAGTATGTAATCGGTACTCTACGGCTGTTTTAGGTACTCAGGAGGGGATCTAGAAAATCTAGATCCCATTTCCGTAGTACTGTGGGGTTAAAACCATCTCAAATCGTGTTACCGAGATCTTAGCAAGCTGGTCAGCTAGTTCGGGGTTTAGATAATGAACACGCAATTGCGCAAACCGCGAGAAGGCGTCTCGGGAGAACAAATCTCATGTAACTGGTGGCCAGCTCATCTCTGGATAAAGGTCTTTTAGTAACTGTAGCCTTGGGCAGTGGTGTGTAAAATACACACATAGACGTATACGTATTGAGTACATGTAAGTACATCATAAGACGTACTTACTTCACGGTGAATGTATGCCACTTACGCGCATAATTATAATGGAAATCTGAAGCCTTTAACGGTAACGTTATGGAGTTTTGGGTCGTACAGGTAGGTGCCTAGAAACACTTAAACCGTGGGAGGATATATCGCTATAGGCATGTGAATTCCATTACAACCACTAAAGATTCGTATTATGTGGTGAGTGTAGTTTAAACGAGAATCGCCAATGTCATGTTGTGCTTTAGGCCCTGGGTATGGCAGCGGAGCGGTTGGTGCCGGAGGGCATGCGGTTGGCCCTACACCTGATAAGAACACCAAATTGAAAACCCTGACCTGTCAGAGGGAAGCTCACTCCTCATGGGTACCTAGCTGCTCTTTACTCTGCTCTAATACCACTACCCCTTGTATGGGGTCTTAGACAACTTCCACTGCTGCTGTTCGTCAAACTGCTGCTCTATGTATGGATGTGCACGCATACAGAAGTCATTCGCCCTAGAGTAGAGTACGTGCATCATACATATCCCCCCCGCTATCAGTTGAGCACTCATTCTCATCCGTATCTTGTATCCCCATAACAGCCATCCCTCGTATTTATTTCCTTCTGCTGCACCGGTGCTTTCGGAATTCTGTTTTCTTGTAGCTGTGCTCCCCCGGTGGTGAGTTAGGAAGATGTAAGTGTTTCCGTCTCAATCCACCCCGCCCCTTTGTTCTTCCACCTGGGAGAAAACGTCCAACGAGAGAGCTTCCGCGTAGTTGGCCGGTTTAACCCCTCATTCGGATTATCCGCTCTTATTGTGGCTCCTCCAAACCCCCGCTAAATCTTTCTTAAAGACAAGAAATAATCCCAAATTAAAAATCATTGAAGAGAGGGCGCAAGAAATATAAAGACTGTCGGCTTTGAAAGATCTCCGCAGGACCATTGAACTCGTTCCACACGCGCTCCTCCACGACATCATCCCGGCCTACCTGGTCCGCATGGAGGCTGCTTTGAACGTCAGGGCACGTTGAATTTGTTCTTGTCTGGTATACCCCATGCTTGCACTTTCCATTCAATGGTGCCATTGCACCCAAACTTGCTCCCTACTGTGCCAAATAAACCCCGACTTCCTGCTGACCCCAGTCAGATTAAATCACAATGGCCACCCCACCGAAACACTCTTCACCCTCAGATGGGCGGAAGTCGCCCAGTAACCGAAAGGTCCCTCATGCCCTGACAACAACCTTCTTCGCAAAATCAAAAAAATCCGGAGAGGCGAGAAGTCCTACATTCCCATCACCTACGATTCAGATGAGAGGCTATAGCAACAGACAAGGTGGTGGTGAAGATGTGGGAAGCAGCGAGATGAGATCAGAGCCTATCGGTATCCCACAATCTCCAAGCGTTGCATCAAACCGGCCAAAGAAGCTCGCGCCTAATACATTTAACTCTCATTACCGGACAATATCGCGATCTATGAATGATTTGGGGAACATCTTCTCACGCGGCCGATCTCCTCCAAATCGAGAACCTTCTCCACGGCGTACTGGTGGTGGGCCGTTAAATACGCTTCCAGAAGGAAGACGGAAGGACAAACCTGACTCTCCTAGATTAAGGACTATAGAAAGTGGAAGTGTTCCCTCAATATCAGTAATGCAACACGGGGAATATGTCTCCCGAGAATCGATTGTGAAGGAAGGTTGGGTGAATATGATAGATTCAAATTCCGTCAAGAAAGGTCCCTTGCGCGAGGCGTGGAAGCTCCAGCACATTATTATCACTGGCGGGTATCTCATGCTCTACAAACCATCATCTAGTCTACAGATAAGATCTTTCGATATCAGTGCAGTTCCATCAAGCCCACCGAGGCCTCAAAGTGCCCCTGCCACAGCTGCAGCCTCGTTTAATGTCTCGACTCTCCGGCATAAAAGTACCAGCAGGCATCCAGAACTAGTTCTTGGTGCAGATGGTGCAATTCTAGGTGGAACAGTTGAAGCCCTTTGCCATGAACTGATGTTTACGGATAACGAGAATGACCAGTTTATCCAAGGTGCAACTCGAACTTTAGCTGGTTGGGCAAGCCCGGAAACTGCTCTGTCGATTTTTATAGAGCTTACAACCTTGAGAGATTTGTCTGCTAGGGTTGCATGGGTTCTCACTTTGTTCATTGAGTCTGCCCCCGGAATGCTACTGGAACCTGGTTGCTACAACTCTGCACGGCTTTTGCTTGAGAAAGGAATAACTCCACATAACCCTGACCTTGCAAAAGACCTGAGGGCTGGGATAGAGGCTAGGGCCAGTCGTTTACAAGAAGAATTAAGCGCTCCTGCTGACCAAATAAAAGGTGATTGCCCTCACATATTGCATATATTGAATTTAACTTGCTGATGCTATGATAGAGCCCTCAACGCCTAGCTCTACTGATATATTCAGTACACTATCAACATCACTCCCCACGGAAGAATTTATGCGACTAAATCCTGAGACCTTTGCCACTCAAGTCCATCTTTTTCACCTCAAGTACCTTCAAGCGTGGAACCCAGAAAATGATCTCTCACTGCTTCTCGCGTCACCTCATCTACCTCCGCCCACACACAGAAACCCTTTAATATTCACATCAACTAATATACATTTCCTTGGTGAGCGAGTACTTAGCCATGTATTGTCTGGAGATTCAACGGCCAATTCAGTTGATCGACGTGCTTCTATCTTGTCCCAATGGCTCAAGGTCGGAAGTCTGCTACGGAAAAAGGCCGATATGGTTGGATACTTGGCTATAGTGATGGCAGTATTATCTCCCCCCATTCTTCGGTTGCGTGAGACATGGAGTTTACTCGATAATTCCTTAATTGAAGACATAGAGAATGGTGCAAAACTTATGAGGATTTTGGAGAGACGACGCCTTGAAGAAAGTGATAGCTACGATCATGGCCGCATACTAGTTCCAGATTTATCGGAAGAGGGATTGTTCTTGTCGGAGGTTGTGCCGTATTTTGGAGACTTATGTCACTGCATGGATGAAGCATATGCGAGCCGTGTTCGGAATGTCGACTATCCTAAATTTATTCAAGGAATGGAAGCCATTTTCAATTCATTAGAGAAATGGAGAGAAGAATGGGTTGACGCTGGTTTGGGCCTTGATCGCGTGGAGAAGAAGACACCTCGGGAGGTCGAGCAGATACAAAAATGTCTTTTTACTTTGAACCTCAACAACAAAACACCCCCCTCTACAAACTCTACAACTTTTTTCGATATGTCTTTGGCATGTGAGCCCTCTTCAACTGGGATGTATCTCCATTCGCATTATCACCAGCGCCTTCCTCTTAGTACCGGTGCCCATGTGCCGCTCGTCTTCACAGATGTTCTTCCCAGCTTCTCTTTATTTGATAGAGAAGATACTTTGGCAATTTCAGGCTCCCTTCACAAAAAGACACCAAGCTCTGGGTTAGCATCACCAAGTTACGGCCCTGGGGTACAGTCACAGCAGCAATCCGGGCCTTCTCAATCCAATCAGAACCTGAGACCACCAACTTCCTCAGGCCAACAAATTATTAGGCGCACACGATCTTTCCCGCCGTCCAATGACACATCACAAACAACTGGATATGATGACCTTGACTATACAACACGAGAGAGGACTGCAGGGCTACACGGTGGGGATAATGCAATGTTACGTGCAATTCGAGATGTTGCTGGAGTGGGCCAACAATTGTTTTATTCAAAAGATGGCGAATTGGTGTTGAAATCGATTACTGAGGACGCATATTCATCAAGGCCTTCAAGCGTCATTGAAACTACTAACAAAAGAGTGAGTGGTTCATCTAGAAGAATATCGGCACAGGTTTACAGTAACAGCACGTCACCGCGTATATCGGCCCATGGAGATATAAGCGTACCACAAACGCCTGTTCGTGGTGGTTTTGAACTCGAAAGCTTCATGCCTGTGGTGTCTAAAGGAGGGACCCTGGAAAGATTAGTGGACATTCTGGTCTTAGGTGTGGAAGATTTTAGTAAACGGATGAACGCTTCTGAGAGCAATTCACCGCCACCAGAAAGGCCACCTCTACTCAAAATGAACATGGATGTTTTTACAATAACTTTCTTCGCCACGTTTCGGAGGTAAAACCCCTTTCCCTTCCGCTTTGCCACGCATATTCTCGCCTTGATCGTACTAATCAAAAGCAGTTACTGTTCACCCATAGTTCTTATTGATTATTTAAAGAAGCGTCTTCTCGGGTCAAAATCAGCTGCAACCTTATCTAACGACGAGAGTGATGATGTCGTGTTTCCAGATTGGACTGGCCCGGATAATATCAGTGATGAGCGTATAGATTGGAACCTTGTCGCAAGGATTCATATCGGGATTCTGGAGGCGATGAATATCTGGATATCTGAATTCTATATAGATTTTCATTCTGACCAAACTCTGGGGGATTCCTTTGTCTCCTTCCTAAGCATTGCCTCGAAGGAATTATCAAACTGGAGAAACCTTGGGCCTGAACATGGCTATCTTCAGAGACAAGCCGATCAGATAAATGACCTTTGGTATGATATCCGGGCCAAGTTTGCAAAACTCAGTTTTACGCCTCTGCGGTACCCAATCCAACCAACACCACCTCAAACCCCGGAAGAGCTAGAAATCCGTCACACGAATGATATTTCTGTAATCGAGGATTTTGTGGAAAAGCTTGAGCGAAAGGTTCGCGACTTGTTTCGTATGGTTAAACTGGTCGATTGGATGGTGGCCTTTGAGATTTTTGAAACACAGAGCTCTGAGCCCCTTGGATTCTTCGCCTCAAAAGCTTCGCCTATGTCTCACGATGATGAAGAAGTTCTCCAAGATATCTTTTCCCTATTAAGCAGCATACGCCAGGGTAACTCGTCGATTCCAGTATTAGACACTCTCCCGAAGTCTCTAAAAGAACTATGTGGATTGCGGACAGATATAATGAACTGGGTTCTTGCACAGATTGTGGACCCTGGACTCAACGCCGAACGGCGAGCTCACCGGATATCTACACTTCTGAAATGCTTGGCAATATCTCGAAAACGTATGTCTGGGATGGACTTGATTGAAGACTATCAGTCTGGGGCGACCCGTCAACATGTGCCTTCTTTCGTTGCTGGTGCCATAGCGGCTGCGCTTGTTCGTCCAGAGAGTAGGTGTTTCAGTTATGCCTGGCTAATGGCTGTGCGAATGGCTTTCGCACCAACCCAACAGGTTGACTCCTTAGAGGCTGTCATTCCGAAGGAGATTAAGGGAGCACAATGTACACAACCTATGACTCCCTGCGCTGGGTGGATTATGGAGCGCTTGTTGGAGATTGTTTGTTACGTACCCAACATGGTCGTGGAAAATAATCGCCTCATCAACTTCGACAAACGCCGCTATGTTTATAATTTTATTCATAATTTCACCAATATCAGTTCTCAATCGCCGCTTCAAGAAAACTTTCCCTCGCAACTAACACCTATTTCGCTCCCAGCTCCGCGTGGTTTTGATATGCGGGCTATCAAGGAACTTTCCAACAGGGAAAACGCGCCGATCAAGAATACTCGTACAAAGATTTTCTGGCGACTCCTGCATCATGAGCAGGAGAAGGTTAGGCGTGATGCAAAGCAAAAAGACGCCATTGAAAGATTACAGCGACAGCAGCAAAGGGCGGAGCATCGCCGCCAACCAACAGCAATCAAAATTGATCCCGCTGATAAACGGAGTGGAAGGCGACTTGGTGTAAACTCCATATTCAAAGCTGTGCGGCCCATATCGATGGCTTTTACGGGTGGATGGACGCCCCCTCAATCTTCCGCACGAATAGTGGCCCCTGGAGATCTACCTACGCTAAAAGGCGTTGAACATGGTAAAAAGCCTTCTTCGACGATAGACCTTACGACTGTGGCATCTGTGTCCTGCCCTAAGACTACCCGTGATCATTATATGTGGAGAGTTAGAACCGACCATGGTATCTCATACCTATTTCAAGCCGTTTCAGAGAAAGAGTTGGAGGAATGGTTGAAAACGATTGAAGTTATCCGTGGAATTGCCACGAGTGATGGCGGAGAGTCCGTCGATGGCCTTACTATGACATCCCAAAACCGTACCCCCCAACCAGTCTTTGGAGTCTCCTTAGAAGATCTCTGCAGACGTGACAATGTCAAAGTGCCGGTTGTAGTTGAAATGCTATTAGGGGAAATTGAATTGCGAGGTAATTACACCAGGATTTTCCAAGCTTCCCTTTTAAATAAAAGCTAACCTTTCATAGGCATTAATGAGGTTGGTATTTATCGTGTACCAGGTTCACTTTCGAGCATCAACGCATTGAAATTAGCCCTCGATTCTGGAGAATATGTTCAAATGGATGATGATCGTTGGTATGACATAAATGCCATCGCCGGGGCCTTTAAAATGTTTATGCGTGAGCTTCCAGATCGAGCTTTGGGGGCCGAAGCCCTTCAACAGCTCAAAAATGTCACTGGTAAGCACAACTACAGACTTCCCAATATTGCTACTTTGTTCGGTATCCTAACCTAAATAGTCAACATCACAAATGAGGATGAAAGAGCAGCAGCCTACCGAGAAGTGATGGTTCGTTTACCTTCTTGCAATTATCACTTCCTTCGCCGTGTTTATGTGCATTTCAACAGGTATGCTTCCTCCCTCTTTTCCTTATATGCTATAGTTTCCTAACGAATCGATCCATACACATATAGAATTGCTAGCAACGCTACTATTAATAAGATGCACGCCGTAAATCTCGCCATTGTCTTTGGGATGGGCCTTTCTCCCACCAATCCAAATATGCCCTTAGGAGTTTCACCGGATCTTGGGCTGTATCAAACAATGGTTAAGATCTGGATTACGCACACCGATTTGATATTTCCTGAGGTTGAGGACGACGATGATCATGAATCAATATCAGCAACGCAGGCCGAATCGTTGGATATGCATTCCTCCGAGCCCTCATCCCCTGCACTAGAGCACACTTCCACAAACTCCCCAAGGATGAGCATGGACGATAAACGGCCAGAACTAAAGGCCCTGGAGGGGTTAGTAATCTGAATAGAAATAATAGGGCCCTATTTACTATATTTCTTTTCAAAAAAGTTTCGGGGGATTTTTGATTTTATCTCTAGAGCACGATGGCCGCTTCTCTATATATCATTAGTCAACAAGCGGGAAGATGATGGTTATTTGGCGCATTAAGGCATGGTTATCTCGCTTCTTTATTTGTCGAGGTGATCTACGAGGTTAATTTTCTTTGTTAATTCCTGCGAGAAACTCTCTTATTCGGGGGCATATTCACGGTATGCTGGATTCAGTTATTGAATATCCCAAGTTATTATTTCCCGTTTCAGAGCGTAGCCTACCAGTACCTAGCTGTAAGATCGAAATTATCGACTAATCCAGTTCATTTATCAGTACAAACGATTATAAGGTACATGTAGATACACATACTCTGTAGAGCGCATCCCTATGTCCGCAAATAGTATCTGGGCGCTTGGACGTTATTTTGATTATTAGCCGCGCCTTCAATGGGTGTGTTAGGGCGATCGAAACGCTCTGTGACATTTGGTCAAGTATACGCGCTTATCCAAACAACCCCAATGCAACACAAAAGCCAAAGACCGATCGAGCAACCGACCCACCCATTCTCCTGTCAACCCTCCTCTCTCTCTCTTCCTTACATTCGCTTACCCGTTATTACATCAATCACGAAGCTTACCCTTTCTTTCTTTCACCACAACAACAGCTCCATCCCTTCCACAGCAGCATTCAACGCCCTGCTGCCTTCCTTCTTCCAGTATGCCTAAAGAACATAAACGTAGGATCTCGCGATTTCTCTAGCACTTATTATAGCTAACATCTATGGCCAGCCAAATCTCCTGTCGGCCCCACCCCTACTCTTCCAAACTCTGTCGAACAATCATACCGTCAAAAATGCATCGAACTGAAGAAAAGAATCAATGAGATCGAGTCGTCGAATGACATCTTAGTCGTGCGTATTCAAAGAGCAAGACGCGGGATTCAGCGGATGAGGCTCGAAAGAGCATTTTTGCTTCAGCAACTCGAGCATCGTACGGATCCCCGAGTAGAGGATTCCGATGGTAGTCCGAGCCCGCCTCCTACGGTATAAACGCCTTAAAACATGTTACTATGTTGAAATATTGGGAAAACGGAAAATACAGACATTCCCATGCTAACTTCCATTGGATTATAGCCCAAAGAAAAACCGCTCCGTATCAAACGCGCTCGGAAAGACCCACCTCCTCTGGATTCTCCAATGCGACAAGTTTCTCCATCTCCAGGACCTTCCAGGGACGACGGGGAGGGATACAACTTTGTTATCTCTACCACATTCAATCAAACCCACCTGGGTGAGAATGACTCTCCGGGTCCTGGCACCATGACTACTCTACCTGTTGCTGTTCCAAAGACGGGGAAAGGCTCTCGGAGCAAAGGTGGGCCAAAAAGACCACCAAATGCTTACATGATGTAAGTTTCGTATAAAACGGTGTATTTCTGCCAAAGCACAACTTTCGCTAACGAGATGCAAGCTTCTGTGAAAAGGAGCGAGACGCAGTCCGTGAACGCGAGTCCAAAAAAGAAGGATTCGACATGCACAAGGCTTTAGCTCAGGCATGGCGCGATCTAAAGGCAGACGGCCAGAAACCATATTTTAACGAGTACGAAAAAAATCGCGAAAAATACCTGGAGAAAGTTAATGACCTTAAAAGCGATGCCGAGAGGGCTACCATGAGTGGTAATGGGGGTGCTGGGAAACGAGCGTTGAGAGCGCTCTCTGCGGCTTCTTCTATTGTACCTGCTTCTAATTATGATGCACCACTAAGTCCTGCTCCAGGGAGCACGAACGATGAACAAGATGAACCTCCACAGCAACCCGGAGGTGGAGGAGGCTTCACTGCAGTTAATAGGTGATCATTAGCTGCATTGCGTTCGTCAATTTTATAGTAGTAATTTGTAGTGCATCATACTACGGAGTGGTTTTGTTTTGTCACCTTTTTGTTCTTCTTCTTCTTATTCTTCGTCTTTAACATATTCGTGCTTATTTTGGTTGTCTCTTCGATTTGAAAAACTAGACCGGACCAAACGTTCGTCGGGTTAAAAAGCCCTCTGGTGGAGCGTTACTTATCATGTATGTATTGTACCAAGTGAAAACCACATGATACCTTTGCCAAAAAATGGTTTATGCCTCTGTATTATAAGTCTTCGTGTTGCCTTTCCCCAAGTTGTTTTCCTTGGTTAAGTATCAAATAATGTTATAACGCATTGAATACCCCCCCCCCCCCCCGCGGGTGTATCTGGAATTGACAACATTCTGTATACTTTTAGCTAGATACAGATGCATATATGTGGTTTAACTAAATGGTACTCAATCGTAGCACATGTACTAGTACTCTACTGTATGTTTGGGTTTTAACCATGATATGCCAAAAAGGCGAGCTTTGAAACCTACTCTAAGTTGGAAATGCAACCTGCTAAAGCCTACTCTGGTAAACTGTAACCAGATCACATGACAGCTCAAGAGCTCACACATGTTGATGACCGGGTAATCGAGTGACGTACCTACAGCTTCCCCTCCCCCAGCTCAAGGAGTTATCTTCTCTACCACAACAAAGATGTCCCTCGATACTCCTAAATACCTTGCGGAGCTGTTCTCTAACATCAGAGGACGTTCTATCCCTTGGGATGCTAACATGAGGGCTGGTCTCATTACCGAATCGGATATTAAGAAGATAAAGGCCATCGATAAAGTCTCGAAGGAGAAGCAAGTCAGCGTTGTTGAGAAGGATGTGGACGGTTATGCCTCACTTGTTCTAGGGCCACAGGGTGGATTGAAAAAGGCGACTGATGGCAAAAGAGTCGATGTCGTGACGTATATGTTAGTCTTGCTAGGAGACTTGTTAGAGAGTGTGTTTACCTTTATTCACTAGGGTCGAGCTTCTGCTGACTTCTAGACCAGGCGTTCCTGCGTTTACGGAATCCCTTTTGGCACTCCCTTCGCCTTTTTCTCACCTGCTATCTCTCCTATCACACACTGATGAAACTGTACCCCTTCTCAGTTCTTCGGTTCTCACCGCAATGCTTACAGCATCCTTGAAATCCTCTTCCAAACCTACCTCTGATACCGAAGCTGCTCTCCCTCAACTATATCGCTATCTCGCGGGTTTGACTAAATCTCCAGATGTTCATCTTCAAGATATAGCTATCCAGTCATATGTTTCCCTTTTGAGGAGTTCATATGCTAGAATTACCTTCTGGGAACTCCAAGAGGAGACAGTTGCACCGATTGTAAGAATCTTGGAGAGCGCTGGAAGTCAAAACGGAAATTCGAGTGATAGAGGAAGCGTTTTGGGAAACCCTGCAACTGCACAAGGTGGTGTTGCTTTGCAGTTGTTATATCATGTTTTACTCGTGATCTGGGAGTTGACATTTGAAGAGGTGGTTGCGGAGGAGATTAACGCGTGTGTCGCACCTTCTACAATGAGGAATAAAAACCTCCGTTTGCCATCGTGAGAACCATAGCTAATTGACAAAACGATATTTGCAGTAAGTACGACATTATTCCACCCATAACAGACATCCTCAGATCGGCCTTCAAAGAAAAGATAACGCGTTTATGTCTTGCAACCCTGTCTAATCTCGCTACAAAATCGCCTTCGTTAAACCTTCCCCCACTTCTTCTTTCAAATGTCCTTCCACACTTGCAGACAATCTCGACACGATTTACGTCATCCTCAGACGCAGAACTCACAGCCGACCTCTCGACCCTGATAGACTCCCTAGAAAATTTCCAGTCCTCACAAACAACCCTTTCTTCGTACCGTCTTGAGATTTTGTCTGGCCATCTTCGCTGGTCGCCTCCGCACCGTAATGAAGGTTTTTGGAAGAAGCATAGTCGGGAAATTCTCGAGGATTCCGAACTTGTGAAGGCGCTCGCAAGAGTTTTAAGCACCAGCCAAGATAAAACAGTCCTTGCCGTTGCTGCAAATGATGTCGGCGCTCTTGTAAGAGAGGTTTCAGGGGGTAGGAAGAAATGGGAAGAGCTTGGCGTCAAGAACAGGGTTATGGAGTTGATGGGAGATAGCGATGCTGAAGTGAGGTATGAAGCATTGAAAGCAGTGCAAGGGTTCCTGGCGAATGCTTTTAGCGGTTAAGTTTTCTTGAAGTTTAGAAATATAAACTACAAGCGAATTCATGCTAGCGTTGGCTTTTGTTACTTTTTTTTAGAACTGTTTTTTTCTCGATTTGCTCTTGGGAATTTCCGTTACTTTTGTTACTATACGTACTTTTTGTGCATATTATATCATCACAGTTCGAATCATCCCCAGCATTATTTTTACCGCATGTTTATAATTGAAAAAGACATCGTCACAGATAATCACTCGATTACGTGTCAGGCCAAACACACGGCATCTTATCCGTCCCATGGTATCAAGATTCGCGCGTTCACTGAGTTGTCAAATGCGGTTCCAACCAAACCCATACAAAAAATATCCGAATACTTAATGTATTTACTAATATAATAGCTATTACTATCATAAACAATATTCGAATTTAACCGACGAGTGATATTCCATGATCCTAACCACTGAGTGCTTTATCAGAAATGAACGTCACGCAAGTTAAGATTTTCGTAATTATAAACTGAAAACCCATTTTTACCTACCTGTAGCTGGTGATCCGCCACCCGAATCTCCTGAGGTATGTATAATATGAGCAAAAGTACCTAGTCTCGATAACCGGGTGATCCGAACGTAAATTCCCAATTGGGGTATAGCTCCCCGGCTAACACTACATCGACCCGCTCTAGAATTAACCCTCTGCTGCCTACAGTCTGGCGCGAGACTGCTCCAAGAACCCTAGCAAGCGGTATCTTGGTGCATAAACAATACCCGCGGGTTGATTACATGTAACGAAGACCTCCAGAAACGTAACCAGGGTCGCTGGCTACATGTATTCGGGGTTTCATGGATTCATCATACATCCCTATTCTTATCTCTGAGAAATAACTAGGAATGTGGGAAGAAGCATACTGATTGTCATATGTACCTGGATATCATCTGTTTACCTTGTAAATGAGATGGTAGATGTATTGCTGAATTTGTTCATTGCAGGGTTAGGGTTTCTAAAGAGAGAAATACAGGTTTAGATTTTTGTTTAATTCATTAATTGTATCAGGTTGACAGATTGATAATTCATTAATTGTATGCAGCCCGTAAGCTATGACAATGAGAGGAACACAGGTGATAGATTTGTGTAGGATTTCATCTGAGAAGCTTATTTGTAGAGCTACCCTCAAATATAAAATGTGATAGGAACTTTGATTATTCCCATAGTGTTAAGCAAAAGGGAAAAAAAGAAGAAAGTGCCAGCATGTGCTAAAGCTGTAAATGAACATTTCAATCAACAAAGCGCGGATATCACGTTATAAAACATAAAAAAGTCCTCGTACACTCTCCTGGCCTAAACTAACCTACCTGACCAAACATTGTCCCAAGCATCCATATAACCCTATGGCAATTTGTGCCGTCGCTAGAAGTAAATGCAAAAAGACCAAAACCCCCATTCCATCCACAACAAAGTTTCATCCTGAAATGTGAGTAAACATCGATCCGAACTAAACATCTTCCCTCGATCCCCTTCCGTTTATGCCATAGATGGTGGGCCTTCCGGATTGACCTCTGATGTTTTCCCAATCAGTACCTCGGGAGCTTTCCCTGAGTAAGCTCTCCTCCTCGTCAATTTCGTCGTCTTCATCGTCCGACATATTACGAAGGCGGGGTGTCTTAATAAGCGCGATTAAGAGAGTGATAGTATAAACCCCAATGAATGCGAACTGTCCCCAGAAAGCGAACGCGCCAAAGAAGGGAAAATTCAGTGTCACACGGTTGATAAAAGTGGAAACAACAGTTGGCGTACAGATGTATTGCGGGGCAGATTCTGAGCAGAACACGATGAGTTCTGGGTTTTGACTGCAGTCAAGAAACAAATCACCAGTTAACTGTGACGTTTAATGTTAGCTATTTTTGAAAAAAAAATTATTCGGTAGGAAGGTCTGGAGAATTATTACAGTGTTGTTGCAAAACTTCTGGCCTCCATAGTGAGCGTACTGCGGAGCAATGATCATTGTAATGGCGTAGTTGATTGCCAAAACCATGAGCGTTAAGATAACGGTAGCTAGGAGCATTCCTTGAGGTTTCGTGTGTCCAGTTTGGATTTTGAACAACGATACCCACAAGAATCTGATACCGACGAATGCTGCCCCAACAACGCTACCAACAAAAAGAAGCAATACCAACAACAGAGCCAATACATAATCTGCTGGGAAAAAGTTGCTGGCAGTCACAAATAACCAGTTGATGGGGTTAAATAAATTGATCTTAGCCAAAATGTACCCACAGCGATTTCCACAGACAGAGTTCTTGGACTTGTCAACAGACGTCAACAGCATTGAAGTAACAACCGAGAGTGAAACGACTAGGACGAAAATGCCGAAGATAATCTCGAGGGGCCTCCCAAGTGCTTTCAGCTTTCCCAAGAATCTACGACCCTTTCTGCCACCTTCTTCAGCGATCCTCTCCCGACGCACTAAAGTTCTTTCCTCCCTTTGTAGACTTTCCATTTCACGCCTATCTTTAGCTGTGAAATTAGAAGTAGTACTACCTCCATACTTTGCTTCAATCATTCTTTGTTTCTCGCGGTTGAAAATGAGATCCTCGTGGACTGATGCGGAGCTAGAGGCGGCTGATGATCCAGGAATAGATTTTATATAGACCATGGGAGTGAGTGCCAGGCCGGGGGCAGTATAGCAAACGTAAGGGAGTATTCCAACACAGAGAAGAGCGCCAACAATAAAAGTCAAAATGCGCTCCCCATCTTTTGAGTTTTTTCTCTCTATCAGCATACAAGAAAACAGAACCGAATAATGGGATTTCACTTACTGTTGGCCAAAAGAAGTTTCTTGAAATAATCAAGGTCCCAGTGTCCTTTAGTATCATTTGCGACAGGAATGAAAAGACCCACGGTCATTAAGATAAAAATAAACGCAAGAAAACAAAGGCTATACTTGAGCGCGCCTTTTATCCTTTGCCAAGCACTTGTATCAACATCCCACTCCTCGTACCTAAGTTCACGCTTATAAGCTAATTAATTCTGTGAGGAAAGACTTAGAAAGGCTGTACCAAAAATAGGCGAACGGAATGATAAGTAGACACATAGTTGCATCGAGTGAATAAAGGCTGTAGTAAACTATCTTCAATTGTTGTACAATCCTGGCTACAGTTTCAACATCCGCCCATTCTTTCTTGAGACCCGTGGCATTATTCGTAGTTATTGAAACAAGCGCGATATCAACCGGAAGCAGACAAACAGTTGCGAGAAGCGATGATAGGGCGAGAACACAGACAATAGTTACGAATGCATCGCGGTCATGGCGGTCCTGGAAGATTCTAACCTGGTTCGAGAATTAGCAATAAATTTCATAACAAGGCGAGGGAAAGCTAACAAATACTGCGGCAGATATGACAAGAAGTGACAAGACGACACCAGCGCTTGCCCAGATAACAGGTATTTGGACAGATAATGTCCCTAGTTGTGGTAATAAGGTATCCATTGTCATGAAAGATGAAGAGGGAGGGAAAGCACAGCTTATGAAAGACGTCCCCAGCTGGAGAACGAAGGAGGTTGTTAAAGCTGTTAGGAATGCGAAGCTAAGCGAGTTGTATGACGTTGCAATGCCAGCCAGTTGTCGCCGCGTCACTACAGTCTGGAGTAGTGTCGCGGAACGCGTGATCAGCGATATTGGCGTTGCTTTTTGTGATACAAGGCCATCTCGTTATATCGGATTCTGGTATCGCGAAAACTCGAGATACACATGAATCATTATATATATAAATATCGCCCGAACCATATATGTGCATGAGGCAGTACAGCTACATACTTCCTGTGTGTACTTATATAATACAGTAAAGACTATTAAAATTCCGTATCCCTGTAACCAGCTTTTGTTGCGGCAGCTCAGGCAATATAAACCGCACAGAAAGTAGATCAAACTTCGTGAAAATGAATAGAACCCACCCTCAGAAGGGGAGTTCTCACGATAGATAGAAGAATTGGATGTGATAGGATCGGCCTAGGATAGAACCTCTTCTATCCCCTTTACATACCTGTATATTTTCTCTACGTACAGACATGCACCAGACAAGATCATTTACACCCAATTTCATTGAACAAGCCTTTATGCTTCTGGCAGATATGTCAGTATGCCTCTCATATCATTCTATCAACACCTTATCGTAACATACTATCCCTCGGTGCTAAGTTATCGGTGGACTCTAGCTCTTATGAACTGGTATACGTATACCATCATCCACCAGCCGAGTGAGGAAAGATGTTTGGATGCCTGATCTGCTGGGTGAAGGATGCGAATATTAAAACCTACATCTGTGGGAATCAGAATCCCGAATGATTCATCTAGTCTTCTAGTTTTAGATATAAGCATGTAGTTGCGAATATTTATATGAGATTTATGCCTGCTCAACCTTAGCCATTGTTAAATCCGGCCTCGAAAAAGACCATTGTTTCTCAATTCTGTAGATGTAAATAAGGTTGTTATCATTAGACCTGTAGCATGAAAGGTCTAGCAACCCTAACCCTGCACTATAATCAATGAAATGATTAAAACCGCGAAAATAAAACATGCACATGCTTTTTGAGCATGTTCCTTAAAGTTATGCCTTGGTTACCCTGTTTTCTATAAAATTTGAAGGTTAGCAGTCACGGGCAAACCCTAATGCGCACGCAACTTTGAAACCCGCCACTCAGATCTTGGCAATTCTCCCCCCAGAAGGTCCTGCAACTGACCCTATCGCCACATAACCGATCAGACCAGCGTTCAAACAACCTCCACGCCGAACTAAGATATTCACGCAAGAAGTCAACATCAAAAGAACGCCGATAAATCGCCAAAATGGTACGTTTGCTCCTTTCACCATTTTTTGAAGCTCGACGATATTGGGATTTGCCACGCGTTAGGAGTTGGCGGACTAGGGGCACAAAGCGGCAATATCCCTTCCAGATATCACCGAGCTTTGGATGAAATATCTTCCTTCGCGGTAATTTGAAGCTAATCGGAATTATTGTATCGTATAGGTTCTCGCTGAAGATCTCCTTAACCCTGCTCCCGCCGCCGAGGCCAGGAAGCACAAGCTTAAGGTACTTTCCCTTCATCAACTCTATCATCGGATTCCAAAATCTAATGGTATTTTTCAATTTAACAGACCTTGGTTCCTGCTCCTCGCTCCTTCTTCATGGATGTTAAGTGCCCTGGATGCTTCAACATCACTACTGTCTTCTCGCACGCCCAGACAGTCGTCATCTGCGGTTCTTGCGCCACCGTTCTCTGCCAGCCTACTGGTGGTAAGGCTCGCCTTACAGAAGGTTGCTCTTTCAGGAGGAAGTAGAGCGATAATATGTCCAAAGTTTAAAAAAATAAAAATTTGGGAAAAAAATAAATTTCTTTGTTCATCTGGGGAAGGGGCAGGGTATTGGGCTGTGGTTCCGGGGAAAAGGGGTTGGAATCATCAAAATCTTCAACCTGGTTTTTTTTGTTCTTACAATTTATTCACCTTTTCTTTCGCTTTGAACCGGCACGATGCGGATACGAACCTTCTCTTTTTGAATATGGATTGGATCCCACCTTGGAGAGATATGAGCGAGGAGTTTGGAAATCTTGATTTATGATATCCAAATGTTATAACCACGAACCATAACGCCAGTCTTCCCAAACTCTAATGGCCGAGAGTGTTCTCACTAGTGTATATATTTTAGACGTTATTTCTGTCAATAGCAGGCTACATACCCTGGAATGAATGCACGCGATCAGCAGGCTTAAATTATCGATTTTGGTGGGATTTTGGTGATATCAGTATAAATATCATAACTTGCCGCCCATGGCCTCAAAGAATAAAAAAATCACCCGCATTCAAGCTTATGCTATGTATGTAGCTTGCTTCTCGCGCTGGTTGCATACATACTACTACTAGTGGCCCACCTCGCGACCGCGAGTTGCACCTTGGATTATGGGTATCAAGTGTTCAATAATTGAGAAAGGCTTTCAATGGGCCTTCGCCCTCCTTTCACCTCCCCTTCTACCTCTCTCTACAATTATGGGGACCCGTTCATTCTTGTGTTTTGATGTGTCGTGCTTACTTAACCCACCCCTGTCTCTGTCGACCAATCAAATGCTTGAGAGTTTAGAAAAGTCGAGTTTCAATACATATTAGATTATTATGCCTGATTCTACTATTTGCTACTTGGCTGCCTACCTAGTTTTACATTCCATTCAACTATCATCCTGAGATTCCCGGAACCCTGGGGTAATCTTATCATCTATTTCAATGTAATAGTAGAGACATGTCAATTCTCTTTCGAAAATTGCCATTGTACTTCATAGGCCGAGTCCACAGATTTTCACCCCGATGATTATGATAATAGCTAACCACATTCGGCTCAAGATTCACTGTAATGTACTGTTACCAGCAGGCTGGCCTGGCCCCGAATGTTTCTGCTTTTCTTTGACCACAGTACTGTACATGGAACCACCTTGGGAGAGTTATTACTCTGCCTATATATGAATATATTTCTTATGCGAATAGAACTCCGACCGTTCAAGTAGCGAGTTAATGGGGGCCTTACGGCCCCCCTCCCCCCTCCCCCAGGTTCGTCGTTTGGTTGGCTACAGTTCAATAGAGAGAGGTCTTATATAAGAAATATATGCCAAGGAGTGACATATCAGAGACTATGACATATCAGAGACTATGACATATCAGAGACTATGACATATCAGAGACTATGACATACCGGACAAAGCTCCCATCACCATTTATAGCGAACTAAACTTAGATAGGCAACTTTGTACAATTTCACAGGCGACCCCTCTGTCTCCGATATTCGGGGCACATTAGGGGCACTAGCTTGATAGAAGGAAATACCAGAACGCACAAAGTCGTACCTCCACTGATACAGGCTCAAGAGTTCCGAAATAATAGTTGAGAAACCACACGTATCTAGGTCTTTCACACCTCGCATTGTGGGGATCATGTAGTACATGTAGTTACAGGATTGTATCATATGTGATATGTACTGATGACAATTGCAAAATTCGTGAGTAGGCCATAGCCACGATTACTTTCTTATAGAATATTTTAACGAATATAGAACTTACGCATTGTACAAAGAAATATGAACAGGTTCAGTGCATTTAATAACCCCAAGTTCCGGGGGAATGAAGAGGAACTGCACGCTCACAGGCACCAAAAAAACCAGCGAATTTCTCGGCATTGTCAAATCTGGGGATTTAGCTCTGAAGTAACAAGCCGAGAATACTTCCTGGCTTCATATTTATCAAACTTGAAAGCTATCCACAAAGTATTTCTTAATATTAATGTACTATCGGCGCTGAAACCATTATCCCTTAAACCGTCAGGCCGAATTACAATCAGAGGCACTTAAACCATTTTCGGAAACATGATAGGATCAACGCCTAGAGACTTGAGGTTGTAGTCTTCATCATGCGTGACAGGTTGCAACAGAATTTCAAGATCAAGCGCTACTTATATCACGACTACCATAAAGGGTTTAAGTGTCTCGTTGCAATTTGGCCTGACGGTTTAAGGGATAGGCTGCGCGAGTCCTTTCTTACTTTAAATTAGGTATGCCACATGGTCCCCCGAAACAATAAAAGGCACATAGAGTTAAGGAGGTGTATATATAGACGAACTTACGTACATAGTCGCTACAAAGGAAGTTGCCGGAGCTGACCCTTCGTATACTAAGATTTTAGGATTTCTTCCAAAGAGTAAAAATGGTGACCTATTGAAAAGAAACAACTAAGTTTCATTCATAGTAGCTGACTGTCAGCTTGAATTGAAAGAGTAGGAACAAGTAACTAAAAACTGACGATTCCGTTATCATATAGTTAATTTATAGTGTTCCGATAGTTTAGACTATCTTTTGAGTTAGTTTTAGTAGGCGGGTGGTTGGATAGCCAAGATTTGAATAGAGTCACTGGAAATCACTCGCTATTGCCAGGTTTTTTTTTCTTCCTTTTTATCTCGAAAAAATAAGATAGTTGTTGGAGAGAGATCAGAATAAACAGTATCCGGAACAACTTAGTACGCGGATACTTTAGGTATAAGTTTCTACACCAGCGGTCCCCCTAAGAACATAGACCTGGTTTCGGCAGCACGTTAGCGCTATCTTTCGACCAAAATGGATAGGGGTGAGAAGCATACTTTTTGATATCTTTGACCCAAGCTTTATTGGTGTTTTTATCCACCAAAATAACAGCTTGTCCTCTCCGACCCATCCTTCCAGTTCTTCCTAGCCGATGAATGAAGTCTATTGTGCTGAATGGAACATCGTAAAGAACAACGTTCTTTACCGTCTTTGTATCTACTCCTCTGCTTGAAATATCCGTAGTTACGAGCACTGACATCCTGTCTTTCGCTTGAACCTCGGGACCAACAGCTGTTTTAGGGCCCGTAAAGTATTCTAGAACCGAAGCTTCTTTGCGGTTTGATGTATCCCTCTCTAAACTAATGGCATCAAATCCCTTCGATTGGAGATAAGACGTCAATGTTCCTGTCGATTCCCGTTCATTGACAAATACAATGACCTTCTTTATGAATCCCACTTCACTTTCGTCCTTGGAGATTTTGTGAAGTGTATCTGCACATGCAAGGGGTTTATTGCCTTTGTACGGCTCGGCATCGGCATCCACAATAGATAGCTGAACACGTCGAGGAATTGCATGGAGATGCGGAGTAACAAGTCGTGTCATTTCGGGATAGAGTTTGCGAAGGCTTCGATCGAGAGACTTCGGGATAGTTGCGGAACAAAGAACAAGACGTTTTAGATTCTCGGCTCTTGTTATAATTGCCGAAGTCAAAGGAGAAAATGTACGATCATAGAGAGAATCTGCCTCATCGACGATAATATGACTGCATTTCGATAGAATTCTAGGGTCGTCTTCAGCTAGACTGGATAGAAGGTGTGGAGTAGAAACGAGAATATCAACCGGTCCCGAGAATAGTCGTCTTCGAATGACAACACCAGAGAAATCTCGAGATATCAGAGCGGAACGTAATTTGACGACATGTGACATAGATTTGATAACCGCACCAACTTGATTAACCAATTCTGACGTGGGAACAAGTATGACAATTCGGGGTTTGCCGTTGTTTTCTCTATTTTCCACGATTGGCCCTTCAAGTTCGAATAATGCATCTGGTTTTTTCTGTTGCTCTTGAAGCAGCTTTCCCCCCTCCTCCCCCTCCTCTTCCTTCTTCTTCAAAATCTCCTCACGCTTCAGGAAATCCATTACAGGAATAATGTATGATAAAGTCTTCCCTGAGCCAGTCTCCGCTGCAATGAGGAACGATTCAAATCGACTTTGGGATACGGCCTTTTGCCTAGCCTTTAGACCCATGCCTGTCAAAGCCGGAATGACAAGTCTCTGAACGGCAGTGGGTTGGATAGTCGCCAAATCGCCTAAAGCCTCTTTAGAAATGGCCTCTTTGACGCAATCTAGTAATTCGAAGTCATCAAATGAGCTCCAAGGCTCGATAGTTGATCCAACATTTGTTCTTTGGGTCCATGAAACCGGAGACAGGGACTGTGCCATTTTCATGTGTTTGAAATTAGGCTTGGATTTTCGAGTTCGGTCTTGTACCTGCGCTTGTGTCTGTTGTCGGTCACTCAAAGTATTCGAGTCAAGTCGTTTCCCGGGTCGCATATCACGAAGAGATCCAGGGCGCGGGGGTGGAAGGTTTGCCTCTCGGACATTTAAACCGCCGGCACTCGGTTTTTGCTTCATGTTGGCAACACGAGTAGAAAGTACCAAGCGAGAAGGGCGGTCTCGTTTACCGCCGGCCATACCTCGTGAAAGAAATTGGGGGGATGTTGTCAGCCTAGTCGGAAAGGCTGGGTAACCTAAGCGGTGTAGACATCGCAGGCATGCTATTGTTTTTATTGACTGTACTCGGAACATTATAGCGATGCTTGTGGAGGGGTAAAGAAGGAGAACGATGCCTGAGGTCTCAGGATGGAGGGGAAGAATGGAGACTGTTATGAACAGGAGCTAGTTACCCGAGGGGAATTTATGATTGGCTCAAGTCAACATGAAAAAAAAGGAAAGAGAGCAAAGCACAGCAGGAACGGAGTCCCCACGACCAATTAGGCCAATCAATCCACCAAGACAAGTACCATGCCCCATGCTTGCGCAGTGATTCTCACGCATGCAAATTTATCGGCGCCGGGATGAACACAGCTGGGAGAGGGCGTGCAGGGAGAAAGCAAGTGCTGAGAGTGCCTAGAGCGGTGTAAGTGCTGTCGATCCGTCCACCGCTGTGATTGGTTGTCGCAGCAACGTCGGTCCCCCTCTCGCCTCCGCTGTTTGTTTTCACACCGACACCGCACTCCGACTACGTTCCATGTGTACACAGTGTATAATGTACACACAGCCTGGCATAGCTCCACAGCAACTCGCAGGTACTGCACTCGCCTTCTGCCTACCCATCTCTGCCCCCCTCTTCCCATTCACGCATCTTGTTCCACATCTTGCATGATTTGGGCGGTCGAGGTAGAGTAAACAGCATCCAACTGCACGACACACTCGCATTCCCTCTGTTGTGATCTCCCTGCTCCACCCTTATTGTATCCACTAAGGTTCCGTCACTTACATATCCTTCCGTCACCTACATACCATCCATACCTCCATCCTCTTCCATCCATCCACCTTCCGTCCATCCACCCGTCGTCCATCCATTACTCTTCTATCATTCCCACTCCCACTCTCACTCCCTCCCATCACTCCCATTCCCATTCCCACTCCCACTCTCTGACTCTCGCTCACTCACGCCCCTCTCTATTCTACTTCTCACTGATATTACTCTTTATTTTGTTCGTTCCTTTTTGTTTCCCTTCCCATACTCATCCCCCCTCCTCTGTCAACATTCGGTTTCAACATCTCTTTAGTTTGTTCTTACATTTGATTGTTTGGGAATACTGGTGCTCTCAACATCTACCTTGTCTGTTTATCGGTGGAAGCCGATCTGTCATGGCAACAGGGCCAGTGGTAAAACCCCCTATCATCGCTTGTACCTAACGTTTGGCTTCTGATACAAACTTTAGGTCACCCCCCTTCGCATACAGAAACAACCAGCTTCCTCGGAATCGGAAACACCATCTCCTAGAAATAGTTTACCCTTAACACAGCCACTTTCAGATATCAGCCCGATGGAGCGAAGGAGGAATAGCCCTTCCAACAAAGAGGGATCAAAGGTGCGCATTTCTGTCAGCTACGATCTTTTTTCAGAGCTGACATTTTTTTCTCCATCTTTAGTCACCGACCAACGAAGATGTCCCTTTGTCCTCACCATTCCCAGGTTCCATCACAGGCTCTATCAGGACAACAACTCCTCGAGCAAACCGAGCGTTTTGGGAAACAAAGAGTCAAGAGAATAATCGCCCAGGCGGTTCCGCCCCTGGGCGTAAATCATCTCTGGAGAAATTGAAGCGGGCTTCTCGGGTGCAGAATAATACCAAAATCTTCCAAAAGCCAAATGACACAGCTCCACCACCCCGACCCATGAGTTACCACGGTCCTAATGGTTTATCATCGCCATTTATCACCCCCCAGATCTCCCAAATAGCGCGAAATAATTCTGTGATACATAATTCGAGACTTCCATTATCAATGCCCAAAAAGCCGGAGGACTCGATTCGTCCAGAAACCCCACCCAAACCCAAGCTAACGTCTATTCTTTCAACCCCTAGCGGCCCTAAAATGCCAAGGCCATCTTTGGTATCTTCGTACAGAACGAACACTTATGAAGGCGAAGGCGGATCATACTCAGAAGAGGCAGATGGACATGAGCAGACTAATAGGAGTCCTAACCGTCGACCAAAATCTGTCACATTTGACAAAGAACCGCCAGATGTTTTGCACTACGAAATGGTTACTCCAGATCCATCTGTGGAAGGCTCACCGGCATTGGGATATGATTCGGATGAGGATGAAGAGGATGAAGACGAGCTGGAATACACTCCAGTTATCGAGCCCGATCAATGGGAAAGTATGACACCAGAGGCTGCAGCCGCAGCCTTTGAGGAGTCCTTTCGTTCGACGCCTTCGCCTAGTGCACGACCGCTCCCACCAATTCCAGGGCCTAACTCCCGAAGAGATAGTAGCAGTCCCTCCGGAAGCCGACCTCTTCCTAGCATTCCAGTAACAAAGGCCGATTTAGAGAATTTAGAAAAGGTACCGCTGGAGGAACGGGTAAGACTAATGATGCAGGAGGATTTGGATGAGAATGATCATTCATCTCGACGACGCTCCACTGAGTCCACCCAAGAACATGACGGCGAAGAATCTGGCGGTTTAGGTATTATGATGGACAACATGTCCCTAGACGATGGAGAGCGAGAAAGCGAGGAAGAGGGAATGGGGAATGGGAAGCATGAGGCATCCCACGAAAGAATGAGCCCGGTACAGATAGAAGAAGGTGATATCTCGGACAAAGAAGAGACTTCGCCAAATTCGAATAGAGAACCCGAGGAGGAAAACAGTTCTTCAAGTCAGTTCGAGTCGCCTTCTGAATACGAGCCTCCTCCACGTTTATCACGGGAATCAATTAGGCGCCAGGTTGAAGCACGCCGTGAAAATTCAATCGATTCACAGCAACTTGATGAGGAAGGTTACACCACGGAGAGCTCTTACACATATGATCAAGATGTTTCAGCAGACGAAATAGAATCTCATATTAAGCAAGAACAGTCTGATGACGAATCGGTCGATATCTATGCAATTCCTGAAATGTATCATGTTCCAGAACGTCCGGCCTCACGCTTCAATACTCGATCACCAGATCCATCACAGACAACTGAGTCAGAAGCTTCACGATACGATGATGATAATGAATCCAGATACAGTGAATTTGAAGACGATAATAGTTCTGTGTTGGCCACCCCTGTCATCCCTTCGAGAGAGGAGTCCACCCCTACCCCGACAAACTTCGAGACAACAATAGCTATCGAAAAGGTAGAGCATGGGGCTGTAGATAAACAGGTTTTAAATGAAGGACTGGTAAGTGAAAACATAGAAGCCAGAACTTCGCCTGAGAATCCTAGGATGAGCCTTCCAGAGTTTGGGACAATGTTCGAAAGCGATGATGGTCTCGGGCTTAGCTCATACATGACCCCTTCTCCGCCTTTACCACCTGTTGATGCACCCACACCGGAACCATTGGAGCTTACGCCGTCCAATCATGTTATTCATGAGCAATCAACACAGCGAATCGAGTCCCCCAAAGATCAAATCGAGCATGATTTAAACGAATCTGTTTATGATGAGGAAGAGGATACTGGGTCGGTCATCAGGCATAAGATTTATGACTCTGATATTGAGGAGGATGATGAGGATTACAATAGCGGGGAAGAGATGGATGATGGAGAGCTCAGCGATACCGGTACAATTCAAGCGGCTAGATCGCCTTCACCAGTCGCAGAGTCAATTGCAACGATCAGAGTACCAAGTGGGAAGTTGAAGACGAGGGCAAGCGCAACACCAGCTGATATGGCGGCGATGGCTGCAGCCCGTAGACACATCAGCGGAGAACATAGGGTTCCGCCACCAGTCCCCCGAATTCCAGACGGGTTTGGCAATGATGACTTGAGCGACGACGAGGAAGAAATTGCAGCTGCCAGTTCAGATTCGGAAATATCTAAGCGAAAGGTCTCCGACAAGCAGCGAAAGTCTATTGGCCTCCCAGCACTTGGTGATATTGAGTTTGATTTTAAGGTAGATGATCTCACAGAGGAGTTTGACCGTGTCATTGAGACGCAAAAGGTATGTTTTCATGCAAAATTTGGTTTCTATCTTAAAAGCCTAACAATACATAGAGGGGATACCTTATGCGCCAGAACACACGCATCATTCATGCGTCTAGTCGGGATCCCGAAGAGGATGAAGCAGAGCCTGCCCCTCGTCCTGGTCACTCACGCACTCAATCTTGGTCTGTAGAACCGTGGAGAAACTCCACACGGAGAAAGAGTCAACGTGACTCAACTGGTGCCATCAGTACATCTCCAAGAAAACGGCCATCAAATATCCCACCAATTCCTCTACCAGATAAGAATGGAAACGTATTGCCCATTGTGGATGAGAATGAGGCAGCTAGTACGGATTCGCAGGCCGAGGATGGTGCAGAGAGGGGTAGATTATTTGTTAAAGTTCTTGGCGTCAAGGACTTAACTCTCCCGCTGCCTCAAGGCAAGACAGCCCACTCTATAATTCAGGGAAATTGAACTTACTAACCCTGGTATCTGCAGGTCAACCAACATATTTTTGCCTGACATTGGATAATGGACTCCACTGTGTGACAACATCGTGGTTAGAATTGGGCAAGAACGCGCCAATCGGCCAAGAATTCGAGTTGTAAGACGTCAAAAATCGGTTTAGATTGTTGCCAGAGTACTAACAATTGCAGGGTTGTTTTAAATGACCTCGAATTCCAGCTTACTCTTCAAACAAAATTGGAGCAACCACCGCCTGCTCCACCTAAAGCAGTAGTTAAGGCTCTTCCACCCAAGCCAAAACAGTCTACTTTTAGCAGAGTTTTTACCACTCCTAAGAAACGAAAACAACTAGAACAGCAAATGCAGCAAATGCAACAACTAGAGCAGCAGCAAATGCAGCAGCAGAGGCAAGAAACGCCACCTCCTGCTACTGCATGGGATCTCCTTCACGGTTTAGTTGCACGAGATGGCTCGTTTGCTCGTTCGTATGTCTGTCTTACAGATTTCGAGACTAGGGCATATGGACGGCCATTCACCACGGATATCAATTGCTTCAACGAATGGGCAGTGGATACTGCTAGTGTGAAGAGCAAGAAAGGCTTGCAAGGTGCTCTGCAGCCTGCAAGGAAAGCACCTTACAAAATCGGGAAATTAGAAGTCCAACTCCTATTCGTCCCAAAGCCCCCAGGGGCCTCAGAGGTGAGTCAGCCAATTATATTACATAGTACTACAAACCAGATGCTAAGAGCTAGTAGAAGGATCTTCCCAAAAGCATGAACGCTGCAATTCGTGAATTGCGTGACGCTGAAGCTACTATGAATAAGACCTGGGAGGGCACTCTCTCTCAGCAAGGGGGCGATTGTCCTGTAAGTCTCTCTTATGTTTATTTAAACATTACCCTAGCGTTTAGACTAACTTTGAATATCAAGTACTGGCGCCGAAGATATTTCAAGCTTGTTGGCCCAAGGTTGACCGCATATCATGAAGCAACACGCCAGCCTCGCGCCACTATCAACCTTAGCAAGGCATCAAGACTCATCAATGACAGGAATACCCTTGTTGATCCAAACGCTAACGCTAACGGCCCCGGGAAGCCCCGCCGCAAATCTGGCTTCTCTGAAGACGAGGAGGGATACATGTTCGTTGAGGAGGGTTTTCGTATTCGCTTCGCCAACGGCGAATTAATCGATTTTTATGCAGATTCTGCAGAAGATAAAGAAGGGTGGGTCAAAGTCCTCGGCGAGACTATAGGTCGAATCCCCGACAAGCGTGGTTGGTGCGACATGGTTATATCCAAGGAATCCAAAGAGAAGGCAGAGAAGGAAAAGACGCAGGCAGCTGTAGCTCGGGTTAAGGCGCAAACTCAGATGCGCCAAACACCACCAATGCCACAACAGTCAAGGCCTCAACCCGCTCAGCCCCCAAGGTCAAACCGTCGACCCCCGCCTGCACACCTATACCGATAGTGATATTTGTTTCAACACGATAATGATACTCATGCCTATCATTTGCGACCCCACCAACCTGGGTTTACCTCGTGACAATAAGTCACTGACTGCATTTTCATGCTTATCTTTTCTCATATTTCCCCTGTATTTTCTACGCTTCCATGATATCTTAGGGTTTCTTTGGTGTATTACTGCTGCAGGTTTTATTTTTCCTATTGTTGATCTTGTTTTCCTTTACGTCTTAATCTCATTTGTAGTGGGTAATATCTCTTTTAATCGCATGGAGTGTTGGGAGCGTTGCAATTAGTGAGCGATTTTGGTTTTATTTTTCTTTAAGTGGATTTTTTGAAAAGAGGAGGAAAGAGAGAAGTGACGATACACTGTACTGATTTTGAGAATCGAGTGTTTCCTTTGTTTCTTTTCCATATATTAGGGTGGGCAGGAGCATATTTTTGTAGCGTAAATGAGCCCAGAGGGCTCAAATCTTAGTACATAGTTTTGTTTAGCGGATTGTGTTTTCTTTATCAAAAATACCTTTTACTAGTTACTGAGAATCCAATAAAGTGCCTTATTTATATGCCAGGTTTGTCGCTTCTATCAACTCGTACAACTTTCTTGACCGCATATTCCTTTTGACCCTTTTTTGACTGGGGGGCTGTAGTCGTCATCGCCTTAATCATGGTGGTTTGATAACCCGGAAAACCTTCCAGCCATGGAATCTTGATAGCTGGGACATTCTCATCAAGAAACTGTAGCAACACGGTGGACCCTGGAGCACCTTCCATCAACCCAAGAAACCCAGCTTGTGGGATTGCAAGAGAGGTTTCCAACCGCGCCTGCGCCCCTTTGGGGAGTTGAACAAGTCTGATCGGGAGTCCCGGAGATGCCTTAGAGACAATACCACATAATAAAGGAAGATGAGAATGAAGTTGCGAAGGCTGCGAGTCAGAACGGCAGACAAAGACGGCAAGGCGGGGCCTGGGCGCTGTGGTTTCGGTTGGCAGTGCTTTAGCCATAGATTCTAGGTGCCTGGTAGTTGAGTTGAGTCCAATTGTTAAGAATGAGTTGAGTTCCGGGGGTGACGGTGGTGGTATGGACGACACTGATGCGGCTGAGGCATTGGAAAGGAATTCGCGCTTTCGTTTACGAGAGTGCTTGCCTTTGGAGGGCTGAATGTAGAGATTTCGATGTTGACCTATGGGTTCCAGCAAACTGGAAGCAAAGAGTTGTTAGAATGGTTGTATCAGGGATTTGGATTGCAAGATCCGGAATTGAAGAAAGTATTGTGGCGTCTTGTACCTGCATAGTAGATCTAAAATTGTATCCTGGTTTGCGCTACTAACTTCCGGCCTGGAGCGAACTAAATCAGCCCAGGTTTCAAGCAAAGTTTTGGATCTAGAATGAACTCACCATCCAACAGTGGTGTTTGGCGAATCGAGGGAGAATGTGATTTTTTTCTTTGGGTCTTGGCCTTTGATAAATTGCGCCATGACAGCTACTGTACAATAGTCTAACCAATGAACCGATGAACCGAGATGGCTCTCGGAAAGTAGGTGAATTATGACGGTATACGTAGAGATAATGGGCGACGATACGTGAAGATGATGGAGGCTGATCTTGATGGGAGCTGCACAGTCCACAGGGTGAGCTGTGCAGATTTCACAGTTTCTTGGGGCGGGAGGCTCGCTAAAGCGCATCTGACTACTCCGCACGATCCTTGCAGGTATCAATTCTACCATTTCACAACTCAACTGTAGGTACATACAATGCAATTTTATCCTTTGAACATACATAAGCTGCTATTTTTCTTAAACTGAAGCCGGAATTTGGAAGATGTGATCAATTCCCAAGCTCACATTTCCTTGCCTAGGAATCATTCTGGTCTTTGTTTCAGTTGGTTCTGAAGACACGAGTCAAGCTCAACGTTTCCTCGTCATGTCAGCCGATCTCTTATCGCTTGCTCAATACTCAAATCAATAGAATAATCCCTGCACAATACGCTTGGGTCCTTTCGTCACTGCCTATGTACATGTATGTATGTAGGTAGTAAACCAACTGACTGCAAGCAAGCCTGCTCATAGCAACAGGCACGCAGCCGCACACTTGCACAGCAGTTGGTAACTGGTAGTAAAGGAAATACTAGAGTAACACATGCGTACATGTCTGCCTGAACTACATACATGTAATGTAGGTAAGCTCTATTGTCTGACTGACGCGAGAGCCACAAACACTCCCACTTCCCTCCCCCTCCAACTCAACCCCCCACCATCCCCTCCTGTCTCAAACCACGACAGCCGCGGCACCATAGCTTTCATATTCCCAAGAACCATCCCCAAACTTTTTACGGTATCTTTTGCCCCAGCGACCGGGCAACCTGTGTTTCTTGCATGGAGAAGAATGGGGAGTCGGACTCAAACTTTATGGCGGTCGATCCAGTCAGCCCAGCTAGCAGTAACTCTAAAGAAGTTTCAGACGAACCCGCCGCACCTCGTAGAAATTCCATCGACGACAACGATCCTACCCGGCCTCGTAAGCGACTAGCTGCTATGCTTATCCATGATAATGCAGACAATACAAAACAGGCTCTCCCGGCTAAGGATAAGGTACCCTACGGAGAATCCGAGAACGAGCCCCGGCAATCAGATCAAGCGATGGAACACAAAAATTATAATGGGACGACCAGCAAACCTGATAAAGCATCTCTGGAAGATGGATCTTTCTCATCACCTGCAGCAGTCAAAGGAATTGGCAACAAGGTTACAATTCATCTCCGTACCACACGTCTCCCGGATACAAAAGAGGATGGGTTTGAAGAGCCTACTATTGATGATGATGAAAACGATGGGCTAAGCCAGCTGACACCTACATCTTCTGGGCCTCCTAGGAGTGTGGGCTCCTTACAGGGTGAATCTCCAAATGGTTCGCTATGTAGCCCGGAGATTGAGGTTGAAGAAGTTGAGGACATGGAAGAAGATGAGGATCTGGCTGGTCATATTGCAGATGTCGATCAATACATCAATAGCCCCATCATCACTGGAGGTTCCGCTGTGATCAAAGATGTTATGGATGATGTTACATCAAAGCTCGAGAGAGGTTTGTATTTACAGGACCTTTTTGAAACTGCTTTCTGACTAACTCTGGTACAGATCCTATTCCATTACGACAGTTGGAAGAACTTGCGCTTACCATGTCGAGTTTTGTCAACGTTGTGGGCGACCAGATCGATAGCTTTTATAAGCTTTATCTTGTTAACCAAGTCGTTTGGCCCAACTTACCAAACATGATGGAGGCCTTACTTAAACGAAGGTGAGACATTCTGCGATCTCGTAACTGTATCCAGTTACTAATTCATAATCAAGTGAACCCTTTGGGCAAAACTATTTTCGCAGGGTGGATAAATCAACGCCAGGGCTAGAAGCTATTATATTAGCCCTCGTGGAGTTTGCACGATTGACAGCACTCTTTGTTCGCTACGATGCTTGGATCTTAGAGCATGCTCTCCCGGATAGAGATCCTACTCTGCTATCATGGGGGTATCAGAGAACCCTATCAATCATTATGAGACCAAATCAACTTTCTAGCCTTATGCAGCGTGTCTACAACTTCAATATGGTCACAATTCTACCACGGGTAATGAGAGCTTTTATCGACACCCATGACGGGTTAGGAACATTGAGGAAATACGATGAGTTAATCCTGCAACGAATACCATTACAACCCAAACTTCTACTTTATGCGTCACTTCCGTTGGAAATATACGCGAAACTCATTCGATGTCTCGAGGTTGTGATAAAAGAAGGCGCTATGTCAGAAGATTCGGCAGAAATCCAGATAGCTGTTTCAGATGGTGCCTTTATGGCTATGACATCTGTGGAAAACTTACTTGCGGGCCTTTTTGAAACGCACCTTCAATTGCTGATTATCAAGGATTTTAACGTGGTGTTGAATACGTTATGTTCGCTAGTAACAGCATTTTATGGTATGAGTTCTGCAGAGTCTAGGATACGGAAACTAATTGAGGAAAAAATCGGGAATGAGTATGGGGTTATTGAGGCCTATGAATATCCTAGTCTTGCAGAATGGTCTTGCAGGTTCCCTTTTCTCTTCAAGATGCTTACCAGTAATCGTATGGACTTTCGACTACAAGGACTGGTAAAGGCTACGGAGCTTCTTGTCAGCGCCTGGAGAGACAGCTATGGGAATGGTACCGAATGGCATGATAGTGTTTTATTAAGGTATATTTCTAGCATTCCTGGTTTTGAAGAGTTCTTATGATTTTAATTAAATACATATCTTACCTCTATCATAGGTTTCTGGCACATTTCATCATCGAAAATAAAATCGTCGAATATATTATGGGACCTGAATCACACCATGAACTTATTCGTCGAAGCGCAAATATAACTGGCTTTCTGATTGTAACCAATACAACTACGGTGGATATTCGACACGCCCTATGGCAACCAGTCGTTAACAACAAGGATCCACGAATAGTGCAAGCTACACTTGCCATGCATCAGGAGATGATACCAAATATGTCTATCCCACTTCTTGTTGAATTGAGCAAGCGGATCAAGGACATACCGTTCTCATCTTTTGATGCTCACATGATGGAGCTCGTGAGCCGTCTACTAGAGACCATCAGGAATAACTTTTACCCGCAACAGGTTGTGATCAGGCAACCCAGAGAGTCTGAATAAATGCTGACTTATTTGGATATAGGTCGTGCATTTAGATCCTCCACCCTATGAAATGTTGATCCAGCTTATTCGGATGGCGTCCCGCGAAGAAGAAAATACCACTCCGAGCGGTGGACTTCCACCATCCACGATATTTGAGTTTGCCGGAAAGGAACTAATGGCACTGGCTGAATATGGGCCAGCTGGAGAACTACGCAGAAAAATTTATCTTGACTGTATCAGCGACATTAAACAAATGAAGTCAAGCGCGACGGGTAGTATCAATGTCATCCAGGCATTCTTACGTATGTCACACCTAAGAATTATAAATTTAATTGACCTAACTATTATTAGAACAAAGACCTCGTAACGTCAGGCCAGGCAGCCCTGGTTACGTCGAGGATATCGAATTTCTTATCAAAAACCTGAACCTAGCTGAACTGCTTGTCAACGAGATAGCTAGGTTTGTGGATTCCCACAGCAAGCACGACCAGTATTCCACACTGCGCCGGTTGAAAGCGAGATTAGAGTTACTTCAGTTTATTCTATATAATTCGCCTGAATGTTTGACAGCTCATCTAGGCGAAAAGCTTTGGACATACTTAGTTGGGGCAAAGGCGTTAGGAACATCTGAGAGAGATGATGGGTTTGAATTCTACATTAACCATTACTTGAAAATTACAGCCGCATGTGTTACCAATGCCCCTCCTCAGGTTCATGTCTCGCTAACGGATCAACAGCAAGCGGATCCTATTCTAGAAAGTGTATTCAAGATCTACTTTCCAGCACTTGATCCTGCTTGTTTCTCACCTAATGTTCTACCTTTCTGCATGAAATCTATAGAATATCTTAACAAACCAACAGGGGTAAGTGTACTTCCACACTAGTTTACTACAAGTATTGCGGGACTTACAATGAAATAGCTTGAGGATAGTTTTGAAGAGGATTGTGTAAACTTCGAGGGTGTTGAACAGTTATGGCGGATAATTCTCAAGGCACCTGACGATAGGCTGGCTGCTGAGGCCACATCATACTTTATGAATCTTTACCTAGACGTGAATCTCATTCTATTCTCCGTTGTTGAGTATGTTTACTAATTGTAGCCTAGACTCGTGCTGTCTGTTCGAAACCTGCAAAGGTCATCGAGAACACGCATTTTATGATCGTAGAACGATGTATAAATCAGCTGACATCCACAGCCTCTAACATTGACAACACAGTTCCGACTGTCAATAACAGAGACGAGAATGCAATGTCCTTGGATACCTTCCATGGAAACAGTGATACACAGGAGTTCTTTCGATCATTAGACCTTCTCGACCACTTCGTCAAGGGCTACAAATCACGGCCAAAATATAACCAAGGCTCTCAAGAGGCGAACCAATCTTCCGCTGTCGATATGATCACAGGTGTGCCCCTAACACTGCGACTGCGGTGGCACGCTTCAAATTTCCAATCACCTGTAAGTACATTCCTTAATCTATGTAATATCGATGGTGTTCTCACCTAGAATCTATAGATCCATAGCTTCCAAATCGGCAATCTAGACACAGGTCAGGATCTGCATGATCGTATCACCAAAATTGTGGGAGGGGACAAATATCGCTTAATAATTTCTGGAAGGGAATTCAAACCATCACATGAGCCACTCAAAACCCTCAAGGATTTTTGTATTCCAGATAATTCTTTCTTGATAGTCCAAAAATCACCAGACCAAGGGACGGTTACTGTCAGCTCGAGCGTGCCTTCTAATCTTAATGCTCTTCAGATTGAGATCATGAGACATTTTGATTCACTTTTTGAATTGCTTTCTCTCCCCGAGCCACAGGCGACGAAGGTATGGGAATATTGAGAATATTAAATGGTTTTGCTTTCGCTAAGATTCCAATAGATATGGTTCTTTTTGAGAAATTTCCCAGTCGATGAGCACATAAAGTCAAGCATGATTTCGGGGTCATCTTGGTCAGAGACTTTTCCAGCGGATTATCCTTATAAAACTCTCTATTATTTGCACGCTTTGCGAACATGTTTTGAGGAACAAAGACAGCAACAAAACGTATGTTTTAAATCATATTCTCAGTTTAAAAGGCACTAATTGTATCTAGAGCGACGAAAAATCAACGTTCATCAACGAGGCAACTTCTTCTTTACTCAAAACCCTAATGAATAACAATCATGAATCCAAAGAATCCTATGCAATGAAGACCCGAGCGCAGGTTACAAACGAGATTCTTGATTGTCTACGTTTGTTTCTTCAAGGTTAGGAATCGAGCAACTATCTGACTTCCATTACTAATAGTTTTCAGAATCCATTACAGAGTGCGGCTTTTCGCCGTCATTTCCTAATCCAGACGATTTCGTTGAAAGGATTTTTGAAATTTTACGCGTTTGCTCTCAAAAGGAGTATTCACAGTGCCCAGGATCCGAGTCTTGTGTTGCCAATGCGTTCAATGTGTTGCTCATCGCATCGAAAATCGATTCAAAAGTATGGTCATCTCTGACTCAAAAATCAGAATTGATACATCATGTGAACAGATTTCTCCTGAAAGATAAACGACAAACGGTTAGGCTAGGCACTGGAGAGGCTATTATAGCAACCTTCAATCGATATCTTTCGTAAGTCCCTTAACTCGGGTTAAATATATGCAATATCTCATTTAATTTAGAACCGTTAAACCGACAAGCCATGACTTCGCGAGATTCTTTTGGAGCATTTTGAAGGACATGTTGGATCAACCTTGGTTGGACCCAAAATCTTCTGCAGAGATGTTCCAAACTGCTCTATTGAATTTTAAGTATGTTTCTAGGACCCTTGATGTCCTTCAGTCCTCCTAACAGTCCTAGATTTCTTAGCGAAGTAAGCCCGGAATCGTTAGATATAGAGTCGTGTTTTAAATCATGGAGCTCGCGTTTGATAAGATATGAAGTGAACGAGGTAAGCATCGTCTCTTCTTATGTTTTTTCTTTCTCTTATGATGCCCTTTATTAATTGTAACTAGGTCGTTGGTTGTTCGAACGAAGACTTCGTGATTACAGGTTTTACAAGACTCCTTACAAGATGTGTATCGTTGGCTAGAAGCCGAGGTATCCATGTTTATAACGGGTATTCTATCCCCCCTCAAGCAAAGTGCATAATCGTATACTAATAGAGGATTTAAAGCGTGGCCGAAGATATCTTTCAGAACTTACTTTTCCGCCCAATGGCCACATTTACTGAAAATTCTCAGCCCATCGAGAGTCTGCCGTGTCTCCACGGACCCAGTCGTTCGGAGATATATACCCTGGTTATCCAACTAGTCAATGATCCCGAGAATTGTGTCAAGATGGTTAAGCACAATTCACATCTTTTCCCCAAAGGTATGATACCCCTGACATGATTTAATTCATGGGCTCACAAAACAAAAGATCAGTCCCTACATGATGGATTCCATGCCGATCGAGGCAGGTGGGCGAGATCAGTAGCAGGCCACGTCGGGTTACAGAACATGTCAAACACATGCTATCTCAATTCATTGATGACTCAGCTTTTTATGAACCGAACATTCAGAGCATTCATCCTGGAGATGCCTATCGACCAAACGGATGAGTCTCAGAAACTAATTCATTTTCTGAAAGTTTTATTTGCGAGAATGCAGAATAGCTACACGAAGGCAGTAGAACCAAAAGACTTTGTTGAGGCCATAACAGATTATGAGGGAGAACAAATTGACATCGCAGTTCAGATGGATGTTGATGAATTCTTCAATCTTATCTTTGACAGACTAGAAGGTCAAATGCCATCAATGGAGCTGAAATCATCTTTCAGGTCGCACTATGGTGGTCAACTAGTCCAGCAGGTTAAGTCAAATGAGTGTCCCCATATATCGGAGCGCACTGAACCCTTCTCAGCAATTCAGTGCGACATTAAAGGAAAGTCAACTCTTCAAGAGAGCTTAAAGGCTTACGTTGAAGGGGAGATCATGGATGGTGGTAAGTATTACCTCCTATTTTCACACCAGTCAAGAATGCAACTGAGCAGCGTTACAGACAACAAGTATTCCTGCACGACATGTGACCGCCACGTTGACGCAGTAAAAAGGTAATTCAATTCCGTTTATTTAACTAGGCATCTAAGGCAAGTAAAGCTCAATTTGGCTGACAATCGGCGTCTTCAGAACCTGCCTCAAAGATATTCCGAATCATCTCATTTTTCACTTGAAAAGATTCGAGTTCGACCTACAGACTATGCACCGTAGCAAAATCAACGACTCTTTTGAGTTTCCAACCTCTATTGACATGAAACCTTATACAATAGAATACTTGAGTGGAGATGAGAAAAACGGTGAGAATTCGTCACGGGATATGTTCGAGCTGGTCGGCGTACTAGTACACAGCGGTACTGCCGAGTCCGGTCATTATTATTCGTATATCAGGAATCGCCTCTCGCCATCAGGGGCACCAGAATGGTTTGAATTCAACGACTCGGAGGTTTCAGCTTTTGATCCTTCGACAATTCCAGCTGCCTGTTATGGGGGTACTGATGGAGTAACCAGAGATGCGATGGGGCAAACATATGCTTTGAGCAAGCCTTATAGCGCATACATGCTCTTTTATGAACGTTCTTCATTGTTGAGTTCGTCGACAGTAAACCAGGATTCAACGGTTCAGACAAGATTATCTATACCCCGGGAACTTGAGTTGGAGATACATAGTGAGAACGAGTATTTCATCAGAAAATATTGCATGTTCGACAACAACCATATCGAATTTATCAGAAAATTATTAGATCAGCAGCAGCGTTTGTTCAAAAATTCCACAGCCTACGACCACATCCACGAGAAGAGAGCATTAATACTTGGGTTGGATACCCTTGAACAAATTGCTACAAGGTTCAAAGACTCCACGGAGGGAGAGGCACTTTTCAATATTTTGAACACCTATTTAATCAACTGTCCTGAATGCTGCCTGGAATTCTTCGACTGGTTGTGCCAGAAGGAAGATGCAATCACCAACTTACTAGTCTGCAACCCGTACGGCAAGGCACGGGCAAATTTTTTGAGACTAGTGATGTTTGCACTTAACCAGGTTCGGCGAAAAAGACCCGAAGCGTATGGGCCAATTGACGAAAGCGGTGACCACGACATTGAATATGAAGATACTGTATTATACAAGCTTTGCACCTCATTGATGCGCTCATGGAATGGTTTGCAATGGTCTATCAAGACATGGGGCGACTACTTTGGTCTATTGGCGAGTATTTCAGCATTGGGTGAGACCGAGAAAGTTGTTATGCTGGATATGGGGTTTTTGAAGAAAATAATGGAGTTACTGTTAATGGATCACCTACAGGCGCCGAGAAAGATGGAATATCTATTTGAAAACTTCGCCAAGATATGGGCAAAACGCCGACCATCGCTCGGGAATCTAGGATCAGTCATGGGCGAACTAATGAGCTTATGCGATCCTCACCTGAGGCCATGTAGGGATGATGAAAACCGAACACATTTCCGCCATCTTTCGAAATTTCCCTTGAATGGTACAGAATATGACTATTTCTCTTTTTCTGCAAAAAGTCAGATGCAGATATTATCAAGGCTGCTTGAATCTCAGACTACAACAGAAAGCATGGCGCGCCTAGTCGCACACATCGTCAAATCCGAAGTTGCACCAGCTGAAGGTCCTCTTCTTGAGCAGATTAAGAACACTCTGCTTGCTGGAGTTCCTGTGGACCCTGCACAAGAGGCCGAGCCTTTCCTTATATGTCTTCTATACTTTGTCTCGGTAACCAAATCTCCGAACTACGTCAAAGAAATCATACGAAGAGTGTCAGATGAGGTGCCCACCATTGGTACTGATGGGGGATCAGAGCATCTGCTTTTTTTCCAAGAGCTGGCAGTCCTTAAAAATGGTCACCTCAAGCCGTACCTCATCAAATGGCGTATGATTGACTATGTTGCACTTTGGGCACCACCGCTGTTAACGTATTGCGATGCAACCGTACGAGAAAACACTGAAAAGCTTCTTGATGATATTTTATTTGATAGTCTTCAAGACGGAGACCGTCCAAGAGCGCGGAAAGGTGTTGAGGATCTTATGAATGGATGTTTCATGTTCATTGAATCGAAACTCCCCAGGTTACGTCAGCCGTGCGACGAGAAAACTTTCGAGAATGTCCTTCGAGTTCTCGAAAAGTGCGGTGAATATCAAGAAGACGAAGAAACCTTCAGGGCAAGGAGTAATGGTTAGTAATTAATCTATTACATAAATTCCTTGGCAATATCTCATTAACTAAAAAAAAAAAAAAAAAACTATAGCGTTGAGATTGTTAATTGAAAAGATCATTCTTGAAGAAGAAGAGGATGCTGATCTAGCCTCCGGTAAGGCCGAATGGTCCTCTCGTGCGCGACACGACTGACCCAAGCACTTTCTGAAGATGAATGGGGTGGCTCTGAAATCGGAAGCGATACGCATGAGATGGAAGTGCAACTCGACGAATACAACAGCACCTAGTAGAAGCCAATAGTCAAGGGTTTGATAAAGGATGGGTCTTTGAATTAGATTTCTTTCCAGCGAGGCGTTATATTCTTAGGATCACCAATTCCATGGGTATGACATAAAGCGGAGGTGTTTAACTGTGTAGGCTCTTTACATTCCTTCTCATCTCTTTCATTTCTTCCAATTTTCTTGTTTTGTTTTGTTTGCTTTTTTTATTTCAAGTTTCAATTTTTTTTTTTTTTTTTACTTTTCGTTGCGAGCACGAAAATAGTCCCGGGATTGAGGGGAGGGATTTGGGGGGGGGGGGATTTGGGGGGGGGGGGGGGGGGGGGGGAATTGGGTGTACTGTGAGGAGTTGGGGGCGTATCGGATTTATGCTTTTCCTCTTCTCCTCTCCCATTTTTTTCTCTTTTTTAAGCGGATCTCTTTTGTCCTGCCTTATTTTTCTTATACCTCTCCCTTTCTCCCCCTTTGGTAGGTGATAGGCTCGCGATATTACTGTGTGTTTATCTTTATTCATCTCGCTACCTAAGAGGGACAAAGCGAAGTCATGGATTTCAATTGTAAAGACAATAAGATGGGAAAAAGAGCCACTAGGATCGTGTTTGAGAAACACATTCATAAGCGAGTGATTCCGAGTGATGCGGTTAGAGGGTCTTGTGATTATGATTTATCTAATGTGGAGAAGAGAGGAAAAGGGAGAGCTTGAAAGAGTTCTAGATCTTGCACAGGCCTCATTGTTCCACTCGATCTTGAATTGGTGCCGGCAAGTTAAGGAAATAGCAGCCTTTCTAATGCCGTATTTTTATATTCAAATCAACGGCAACGCCCTACCCTTTTGTCATTGACAACATACACCATACAACCCCACATTCCTCATCCTCTCTCGAACCCCATCTTGCCCTAGGATGGGAAATCCTACGATACGAAACCTAACTACCCCTGTGGAACAGCGGTGTCATGCCCAAAACGCACAACGTTTTTTCTTACAAAGAATATTCCATCACGCCCACGTCCACCCCAGACCCATGCACCATGACCAGCAGCAGTTGCAGTCAGTCGAGTTTCATCATACTGACATCCGAGAAAAAGAACCCAGTTTCAAAGAAAGAGATAAACGTGAGGAAAAAAGTCTGCAAACCAAGACGCGCGTCAAGGAAGTCTGAAGCAAAACGTGAGCAAAGAGGGGAAAGCCACTAGGAAGAAAATGAAATGTAAAGGAAAAAAATCATCAGAACTCCTCAAACAAATGTCCGTATTGATCGCAGTTGTCACCGGTCCCGTACTCCTCCTGCTCTTCTGGGTAGCGGTCGAATTGACTTGAATCACCGACACCACCTCTAACTGGCGGTACATAAGGTGCCTCAATATCCTTTCTGGCTAAACGCTCCCAGTTAACCTCTGCAAACCACTGATGTTGCTTGATGTCGCTGCTGCCATGGAGTAAATTCCCCAGCCGCTTCGTCAAATCCGGCGTTATAAGCTGTTGAAGTAGGTCCTGGGCGTCGGGATGAATGTAAGCCGGATATTTGACACGCCCTTTCAGAATGTTTTCGTAGATCTTCATAGGACTTCCACCATCCCAGAAGGGTGTATAACCACAAAGCATCTCAAAAATTAAAATACCCAGCGACCACCTAGTTCGAAAAAAAAATTCTATTAATGATTGCCTGCCGCCTCCGTATGACAAAAGTCCTACTAAGGGAGAAAGAAAAGAACCAATACGAAAATACTCACCAATCTACAGATTTGTTATAACCTTTAGAAGCGACAACCTCGGGCGCCAAGTAATCCGGGGTACCACACAATGTCCACGTAATGTCGGGAACTTCTTTCGCAAAACCGAAATCTGTTATCTTTAGGTGACCGTGACGATCTAAAAGCAGATTCTCAGGTTTGAGATCTCTATAAATGATATGATGCGAATGAAGATAATCCAAGGCAAGCGCAACTTCAGCTGCGTAGAACTTTGCAACGGGATTCGGAAACCGCTACAGTGAGGTCGAAGCAGCCTTGAGTATTTTCCCTTAACCAATTGGATTAGGATGCATGTCATACCTGGGATTTTCGTAGCAGACTAAAGAGCTCCCCCCCCTCAATAAAGTCCATCACCATATACAAGTTTTTTGCATCTTGGAAAGTCCCCCATAGAGTTATCAAGAACGGGTGCTTTACTTTCTGCAACATCCGCCTTTCATCATTGGTGTGCTCAACCTGTTTCATCTTGACCACCTGAGCTTTTTTCAAGACCTTCACTGCATAAAACCTAAGGTTATGTCGCGACTGAACGAGGTGAACTCTTCCAAAGCTCCCAGTTCCTAGAGTCCTTTGGATAGCAAAGTCACCTAGTGAATATTTTCCTTTGGTTGTGCGTACGGCGGAACTCTGCTGCGGCTGTTCATCCGGCTTTCGCTCCTGCGACCCAGCGTTACCCGCATTAGTCCCTGCGCTTTGGGATTGTATCATATCAGAATGAGCCGGAGTATTTTGTTGTGAGCTGCTATTGTCATAAGGTCTCGCATAGTCGCCAGGCTGTGGAGGGTTTATGATACTGTTGATGTTACTCTGATGAGGCTGATTCTGGTGTTGCTGTTGGGAGGTATGAGAGTGGGGATACTGCTGTTGGTGTTCCGGTATCATTGGCCGATGATCGGAGACCAGTGCCATGGATTCAACGGGAACGGAGGGGTTGGAGGGGTTTTGGGGCGGAGCAGTTGAGACCGAGGAAGCGGACTCAATCGAAGGCTTGAGCGAGTTGTGGTGCGAGATTATTGGAGTAGTTGCGGTCGCGGAGGTCGGGGTTGGCGGTTCTGATTCTCGAATTTCGGACTGGGAGCTGTCCTTTCTCGCATGCAAGGAATCTTTATCTTTCTTCTTCTTCTTCAAAAACCCGAGAGTCGGCATGCGCAAGATGACCGGGAATATGTCGAGAAGGGAAGACACCTGCTGGTGGCCTCCTCCAATCCCTTTGTCTGTTTCGAGCGGGCTGATTTCGCTTTGGCGGCGGAACCCAGAAGCCCTGGAATGATAAAGAGCTGCGGGAAAGCGGCGGGCAGCGGCGGAGGAGGAGGGGAGGAAATGAGTACGTAGAGCTTCAATTACCTATTTTCTTTCCCCCTCCTGCTATTGTTACTACGCCTTTGCCGAGTCGAGCCGTGGAAACGCTGTCAATGGGCGGGGTTAACTGCCAGGACAACAGCGAAAAGCACGACGACGATGAGGATGAGGACAGGAAGATTGTAGATGTTGGGGGTGGGGATGAAGATGAAGACGAGGACGCGGGGGGGGGGGGGGGGGGGGGAGCAAGTGAAGGCGGAATAGACAAGGCTAGGGTATGTAATGGATATGTATGTATGGAACGGTGATGCTTGAGAGCGATCCAAACGAACAACTGGGGAAGAGTGACAGTGCTGCTACCGGAATCGAATAAGCAATGCGGACAGCAGCCGATTCGTTTCTTCCTATGTATTCCCCCAGAGGAGCAGGGAGTAGTACGTGGAGGTGGAGTAAGGTGGATGGATGAGGATTATGTATTGATTGCTCTGAAGTATGTGTACTCTGTTATGCTTTCTATCCCTCGTCCGCTGTTCGGCGTCCTCGTCTTACCCCGGTTTTCTTTTATTTGAGAGTTTTTATAATCTGTTATCCTTTTTGATCGAATCCTTGGGTCCTTGTCTTTCCTCCTCTCAGTGGTTTCGTCCGTTCTGCTTGCTACAAATTTCTGGCTTGCTTGGGTACCGGTAGATTACATGTACCTACCTATGTAACTACCTTACCTACAGGGTATCCACTTCTCCCAGATTCTTTCCCAAAGTGCATGAACGGAAGAAGACTCGCTTCAGATACCTCCAGGCTACTCTCTCCAGACTCGATCGCAAAAAGGTGATGGGAAGCGGCGGCTATCCTGGGATGATCGACGAAGAAAACTGCCTCATTCGGGAAGTAGCAGAGGGGGTTTTCCTGACCGCTTTGGAGGGGCAGGGTGGGGGATGAGGGGATGAGGAACGTTGGCTGACCGGGAACAACGGTAGGTTAAAGGAGACGGCACAGAAACAAAGTGGATGCGGTGCAGGTTTTTCTGAAAATCCTCATAGGTTTGAGGTATCTACTTATGTAGATCATTCTACTGTCTCTCCACCATATGCTGATCATTTTCCGAGGAGGTTGAGCATCTATAGAATACCTATATACATATTCTAGGTTGATAAACATGAGATGACTGGCCGACTCGTAAAAAGAGCATGAAACACCTTATGAAACTCTTTACTCGCAATTCTTATGTGAAGGTCAAAGCTATGTAAGAGCGAGAATCAGTCATAGATAAAGATCGACAGCCCCATCGCCTTATATAAATAGTGGGAGTTTCTCGGTCTGTCTCCAAACATCCGCCGCGGCCAGATGTTGCTCGGCATCATCTGCGTCCACAACTCTTCCGCCCGCGGTCTATTTCTAAACACGGCAATCGACAGCACTAGACGTCATTCGTATTCCAGACAATAGCATATGTAGAAGCTTATCCCAAGCCTATTCCTGCTATCCCAGGAATCCATTATCTCTACCCGATGTGCCTACCCGGAAACCGACATGTTGATAGCTTAGCTTTTGTCCTGCATCAATTCCACTGTTTGGACGATGCTTATTCACAACTTCAATCGATTAAAAAATGGTGCACGATATACATACCTATAAGCAAGCTGCAAGCTATGTAGACCTACATGTAGGCACATGTAGGTACTTGTGAGCCAGGCGCCATCATTCGGCAGTAAAATTATTAGGAAACCAAACACCCAGAGCTCTCCATGTAGGTCATAGGTATGTATGTACTATACGCCCTATATTTTACTTAGCCAGTGCTGAAGCTGAAGTGACTGAGGTTCGAGATATATTGTATATAAATACATACAACGAATTGTATGTAGACGGGTTGATCCAGCTCTCGATCACAAATGTCAATGATTGGTTATAATCCTGGTTACACCTTGTAGCTATGCAGGTTACCCTTCGCCAATGATAATATCATCTCGTTTTTGGTTCATCGTATTAGTGTCCGCTCAAACTTGGATTAACGCTAGTAGAATAATAATTTCATCAGTGAGTTTACCAAGGCCCTGTATGTATTATTTAACCATAGCCGTGGGTATTAGATTTCCTGTAGGTACATACATTATCTATTTCATTTTTACTGCCACAGGCATCCTCGTTAAACAAGGGGTTCGCCGATATCTTTATCCATAGCTCTAGTTAAACTTCGGATTGTGGATCACATATTATGGACTACTCTAACTATCATCTTTGAAATCCCATTCCTCGAAGCGAGATTACCAATGCGGCTAAGATTTTGAGGTTTACTCTTCACTACTACATTTTATTCTTCGGTTGGATCTCGCAGTTGATCAACAAAAACGAGCACTTCTCATATCAAGGCCACATACGCACGTAAGGTATATGGACATGTAAGCATCGATATTTCCCCTCCTACAACAAGTCAGCCTTGCTTGCTCCTAGCCACAAATCAGATTGTGGTCTCCAGCACTACAGTTCTGTAGGCCATCTCTAATGTTGTAGGCTTCGGACATACGCGTCCCGGTCAGCCACAAGCTAGGATGCGTGTCCATATTTACTAGCATTTTGCAAGGTAATTTACAACTGCCTTTCGCTATCACTACATACAGTTAAGCTGTTAGTTCCCCCGGTTCGATATGGAAAACCAACATCACAAAGTTAATCTCCTGCCAAAAAGAGGCACGAAGCGAGACGACCTGGTTTGTGCCCGGAACGCCATTCACGACCCAATCGGCAACGAAGAGTGATGTTATGCAGAGAGAGGAGAAGTCGTGGCAAAGAGTCTGAGTGCTCTGCACGAGCGTATGCAATCTTAGAGCTTCTCTAACAGCAGTTACACAGCCAATCTCAAACCGGATCGATCATGGGAGTAACAGAAACCTACAAGGGCTATGTCCATGTCTATCTACATATAGTTATAGGATTTTCTGAGATAGGTACCTGTCTGATGCAAGTATCTCGTATTCACCGCAGATAGAAGTAGCCAGAAAAAATATTTATATTATAGTTACTTTCTAAAACCGAATTCACACACTACTCAGTCGACTTGTTCTTCCTATTCTTGATCCACAAGGAATCTATCGCCTGAAAGACGGCCGTGATTCCTTTAAGCTCCTCCTCGCTGAGCCCAGATTTCCCCCACCTCTGCTGAGCTTTATCTGGATGCCATCGTACCCTTTCTAGCTTCAGCATATCAGTAAACCCTTCCCTGTCAGGTGTTGTACCAGTAGGTGCTGATAAGAAAAATTCTTCGATGGCGTCTTGAGAAAGGTCTAATAGCTTCCCAGACCTAGTAGGCCATGGGATATTGTCGAGAGGCACCTTTCTTTCACCACCATCGTCATCGACATCAACTCGGTTCTCATCTGCAATTCTCGCCCAGTTGTGTAGATACTCATCCCACCGTTTCTGCAAGCCACTTCTATGCTTTCTTTGCCTTCTTTGTTTATCTTCTCTTCGCATTTCCTTTTCTGCATGCTCCCAAGCAATTCGTTCCTCGCGCTCACGTCGCTTTTTCTCCTCCTTTTCACGCTCTCTCCTTTCACGTTCCTCAACGATATGTTGATGGCTTTTTTCCCACATTTTCTCACGAACATAGGCAGCGTACTCCTCGTCATCCATCTGCTCAAGCATACCCCGCTCATTCGTCACCTGAGGTCGAGGGTAGTTGTTGATGGGCTCCCCATAAACACCTTCCCAAAAAGCCGCGCCCTCGTCGTCTGCCATCGCGTCAAATAACGATTGACGGAATGCCTCGTCTGGATCTGCATATTGAGTGGATGATACGTTGGGAAGATAGGTATCGTCATAGGCTGATGGGTCATCCCCGGTTTTCTTGCGCTCGTGAGAGTGCCTTCGACGTTTTGACGGATGGCTAGAGCTCTCACTTTCACGGTGATGATGGTGGTGACGGTGACGACGCTCTCGTTTCTCCTTGTCTCCGCCTGACCGGCGCTTCTTTTTGAAGCGAAATTTATTCTTTCTATGCCTTTCTTCTTCTCTAGATTCTTCTACAGATGTGGCACGGGACTTCTCACCATCGCTGCCCCTACTAGCATTTGGAGGAGACGGCGGTTGTTGTGATGGATCTGGGCCTTGGGGGTCCCGAGTGAGAGGATGTGAAGGTGCATCGTTCTGTGTCAGACCATGGAGCATTCCCAAGCGGTCGTTGGACACGTTGTAGGAACGCATAACGCTGAATCGGTAACTGTATCGAAATAGAAATTTAAAGATAGAGCGGTGTAGGGTCGGGCGAGATGGATAGCGAGACTTGGCAGTTTTCAACGAATCATATTTCTCTATCCTGGTACGATCATGCGTTAGGCTGTAGAGCACTTATTTCCGCTTTTACAAATAAGGCGTCCATTGCAACGTCGGCAGGGTAATTAGGTGTAACACCCCGCACTGGGCCTACGTGTAATGGTAATATAACATTGATATTTGGCACATTTCTAGCTAAAGACATATCAATCTATCATCCTTTTCAATTCATTCATGCTAGACCCAAAAATTTCTCATCTTGATACAATTCCCCGCGAGATTCAGAGCAAGGACAATTCGTCCCACGTTATACCTTCTGTAGCTTACATACCACACAACAAGTATTTGCCATTGTTAACGTCAATTCAGCCAAAGTCTCGGCTAAGCCTAGGCGCTCCCAACGCGCTAGGCATGCCAGTACAGGAAATTAATCCTGATATCGACAAAGTTCCTGATATCGACAAAGTTGTAGTTCATAAGCCTAGACGGCTTCACTATATCCCCAGATTTTTATTGAAGCAATTCATACCGCCTAGCTTAAGGTTAGATAAACCATTACAGAAGTACATGTACGTAGATTTTATATACTTACAAAAAAAAATTGCAATATAGAGCAAAAGGTGCTTGGAGCACTCTCCACAGGACAGGCCGTTGGGGGGGTTCGATAAACCGCTATTCACTTTCACACCCATCCAAGCTTCCAACGCGTGAGATTGCAAAATCCTACTACGTTAAAGACCTTTATGTGACACAAAATTCCAAAAACCCATCATACGAGCTAGAAGACAAGCTCGGTGAGTTGGAAAACACCGTTAGCAATATCATGTCCAGGCTTTTCAAGACTTTGGAGAAGGACGAAATACCCACAATATACAAGATGACGCGCGGGAATCTCAATCTCATGCATAAGTTCTTGTACGTCATGGGCTACCGTAAACCATCAGTTGCAAACATTTACCGGCAACCAGACCCCGACGACCCCCCTGGGGAGGCGCGTCTGGAATATCGCACCCAAGCACCCAATGACCAGTGGCTTCAGCAGCTACGCTATATTCTCGACACACCGCATTGGGAGATTGTTGAGCATGGACGCAAGGCAAAGAGAAAAAAGGCAGAGCTGGATTTGAAATTTCCGCATAGAAAATGGTCGGAATTGGGCAAAGATCTTGAGTCATTGGAAGAAGGATACATGGAGGAGGCGGACGGGTGTTTCTTGGCTATTTGGAGGGCCGCCGAAGGGGAGGAGTTCATCATCTCGAACGACTCTTTCGGTATTCTCGAGGGTAAGAAGAGCTCTTGGGGCCCGATCCATAGGTTCTATGTCATATCCCCACAGGTTGCACTTGTGATTTGCTCTGTCGGTCTTGACCCGAGCTACAATTGCGACCCGGAAATCAAAGTTCGTTGCCAGAATTCGGTACTTCGGGGTGCGAAGCATAGGCGCCCAAAAGTGATACATGCAGTTGAACCACCGGATAACATGAGCGATGAGGAGTCCCTGGAGTTCGAGTCAAAATGTCACACCAGAGAGGATGACACTATGGAGTTTGAGGTTTCGACTCTCACAGTTGAAGAAACCCGTACTCTGAATGCAGTTATACTCGAAACCACCGCCGACGATGGAACGATTACATATTGTTCCGAGAAAGCGCTTCAACAGACTCTTGTCTCCTTCAAGGGAAACCCGAATTTTAGGAGTCAAAGCCGGTATGAAACGTTAAGAAAGATGCTAGGAGGAGGGAAAGAAGGAGAAGGGGATGGTAGTGCACTTGAGCTCAATCTACCACCATCCGAACCGGAGCCACAGCTCCAATTGCAGCAAGAGAAATTCGGGGAGTCTGAAAGTCTCCCCTACCTTAATCAAGCAATTTCTGGAGATGCCAATGTATGTATTGTGATCTACCTTCCTCAAGCCCGAATTTCAAGATTACAAGTGGGACTTTGCTAACCTTATATTCTAGGCGTATCATCCCGAGGGGCCAACATCCCCAGAGAAGGTCGTCGAGAAGAATGGAAACATGATTTTCGAATTGATCCTTCTGAATTTGAAAAGCGAGCGACCGCTAGTCAGTTGCTTGTTCGAACTCATCATCATCACCACCACCATCATCATCATCATCTTCGGTCACTTTGTGTCGGTCAAGGCCTGGACGGGAACATATACGGACCCGGCCTGTTTTGGCTTGACATAAGTTATTTCTAAGAAAATCGCAGTCCAGAGCGTCAACCAGGAACAAACAGATACACATATACGACAAAACACTTGTATCATGTGATCGTTTTGGACCTGGTTGGAGCTTTCGACAAATATCCTGTTTTTCATTTTGTTTTAGAGTGGTGCTAATACGCTGTGGCACTTGGCGCATGACCAAGTACCAGGCGCCAGACATCGCCGGTGCGATGAGCGCGTGAGTGATACAGGACCCATATCTACTAGTAGAAGTATCTGATGGTAGTTTTAGCGATGCTGAAAGATCGGGTTGAAAAAACCTTCAATTTGATCTTTCGGTATTTCTAGGCTACTGGCAGATTTGGGGCCTATATCTCCCACGCGCTCATCGCACTGGCGATGTCTGGCGCCTGGTACTCGGTCATACGCCAAGTGCCACCGCGTATACGCACCTCTCGCATATTATTTTTTTGTATTGTACGCTCGGTTTGCTGTCGTGGAGGTTGTTTTCCCGTTCTGTTTCTCTATTTCGCTTTCTGGTCGACTTGGATATGTTTGTGCAGGCGCAGAGGGGGAACTAGTAATTCTTTTGTATTGTTTCTTGTATAATTTCCTATGCGCAAGGTTGAGGAGGGGGTAGAATCCCTTATCCCTTGTGTTTGACCATGGACGAGTTGGAGAATATGGATCAGAGGAGAGCTTTTGGGGGGGGGGGGGGGGGGGGTTATTCTTATGTGTGGTTTTGGTTGCGCTTTTTTGGTGTGGGTTTGGGATGGTTACTTTGGTGCAAGAATGAGTAGAGACTTGACAAGATCCTCAAGTCTCTACTCCGTCTCGCCATTTCTATTCCTTGTTTTGTTTTGTTGTGGCTTTGGGGGAAGGGGAGATTTGCAGCTTTTGGCTTGCAATTTGGTTGTCTCGGATGAGAGTAGTTTGGGGTTTCTTTGGGGGATTTAAGGTTTTCGTCTTACAATCTGTTGTGATGGAGGAGAGTGGTTTTGGTTTACAATTTGTCACTGGGGGATTTGCGGTTTTGCTTTGAAATTTGTTGTTTTTGGATTTTTATAGCGTTTGGTTTTGTTTTTGGTGGACTTGGAAGTTTTTTGGTTTGCAGTTTGGTTGCGGCTTTGGTTTACAATTTGTTTTTGGTATACGCGTATGGAGGACATGGTATGAATTTATCTTTGCTACTTTGCTTCATGGCAACTCTCCAACTAGCCGAGTGCGGCCTTGTGATGCAATAACACTCGAGCGATATAAGTATTGGCGGGGTGCTCTGAAATCGTCGTGAAACCTTGGCGGCTTCTACTATCAATCACGATACTCAAAACCTGGTATATAAAGCGAGCTTATATATATATATCAAACCCCACGCAATGCAACCTTAACACACCTATCACATCATACCACCCCACCCCACCCCCCACCCACCCAGCTGCCACCTCCCACCTCATCACAACTAAAATGCGTCGCGTAGTAGTAACCGGTCTCGGCGCCGTGACCCCCCTCGGCATCGGTCTGTCCTTCCCATCCTTTCTGCCCCACCCGCCCCTCCACCCGCCGCCCCCACTAACAAGAAAACCACAGGCGTGAAGCGCTCATGGACAAACCTGCTCGCGGGCCGCAGCGGCGTCGTCTCCATCCGCGGCCGCTTCCCGACCGTGGGCGGCACGGAGATTCCCAGCCAGGTGGCGGCGCTGGTGCCGGGGTGGGATGCGGGGGCGTGGGTTTCGGGGGCGGTAGGGTTTCCTTGTGGGGCGGGGGTTGGGGGGTTGGGGGGTTGGGGGGTTGGGGGGTTGGGGGGTTGGGGGGTTGGGGGGTTGTGCTGATTGTGGGGTGTGCGGAGGACAGGAGAAGGCAAAGATGGCGACGTTTACGCAGTATGCGGTTGCGGCGGCGGAAGAGGCGCTCAACGATGCGGGGTGGAGGCCGGAGAGTGAGGAGGAGAGGAGCATGGCGGTGAGTTTGTTCTTGGGCTGGGAGTGGGAGTGCAGGTGCGGGTGCGGGTGGGGGCTAATGTGCGGTGTGGGGATGTAGGGTGTGTGTATTGGCTCGGGCATTGGCTCGTTGGACGATGTGTATAATACGGCGGTGAGTTATGCGGCGGGGGTGAGTTCTTTTCTTTCTTACTTTTTGGTTTCTTTATTTTGGTATTCTGGGTTTTGGTATTCTGGTTTTGGGATGATCGGTTGTGAGGTTTGATCATTTTGTGGGTGGGAATATCATTGACACTACGAGCGGGAAATGTCCAGGGCTACAAGAAAGTTCCCCCCATCTTCATCCCCCGGCTCCTCGTCAACCTCGCCGCCGGGCACGTCAGCATGCGCTACGGCTTCCTCGTAAACAACCCCCTCCACCCCTCCCACTCTACAAACCATTGACCCCCCCCCCCCCCTCTCTAGGGCCCCAACCACGCCGTCTCCACCGCCTGCACAACCGGCGCGCACTCCATCGGCGACGCCACCCGCTTCATCCAGCACGGCGACGCAAACATCATGCTCGCCGGCGGCTCCGAATCCTGCATCCATCCACTGGCCCTATCCGGCTTCTGTCGCGTCAAGTCGCTCGCTACGTCCTGGAACGACGACCCGCCCGCCGCCTCCCGCCCCTTCGACCGCGACCGCGCCGGCTTCGTGATTGGCGAGGGCGCAGGCATCGTCGTGCTCGAGGAGCTGGAACATGCCAAGAGGCGTGGTGCGAGGGTGTATGCGGAGGTGAGAGGGTATGGGGTCAGTGCGGATGCGCACCATATGACGGCGCCGCCGGAGAGCGGGAGGGGCGCGAGGATGGCGATGAGGAAGGGGTTAGTGCAGGCGGGGGTAAGGCCGCGGGAGGTGGATTATGTGAATGCGCATGCGACGTCGACGGTGCTGGGCGATGCGGCGGAGAATCGGGCGGTGAGGGGGCTGCTGCTGGGGGAGGAGGGGTGGGCGAGGGCGGGGGAGGTGTGTGTGTCGAGTACGAAGGGGGCTACGGGGCATCTGTTGGGTGCGGCGGGGGCGGTGGAGGCGATTTTTACGATATTGGCGGTGCATGAGGTGTGTTTCCCTTTTACCTTCTCTCTTCCCTTTTCTTTATACATATTTGTTTTATTTTGGTTTTATTTTTATTTCCATTTTCATATCTCTTGAGCGTGGCGTGGTGGGAGCTAGAAAACAGAGAGCTTGGACAAACTCATGCTTGAAACAAAACAGGACATCCTCCCGCCGACGCTCAACCTCGGGAACCCGGGCAACCCCGGCGACACGCAAGACGCAGCGGGCGAGTTTGACTGCAACTACGTGCCCAACGTGGCCCAGAAAAAGACCGTCAGTGTGGCCATCTCAAACAGCTTTGGCTTTGGCGGCACGAACGCCAGTCTCTGCTTCTCGAAGCTGGGGTAGCTGAGGTAGCTGTGTTTGGATTGTACCTGTTTGGATTGTAACTGTTTGGATTGTAACTGTTTGTAATTGTAATTGCTTGTAATTGTAGATAGCCTGCAGCAGACAGAAGCACTCGCTCGCCTGAAAATGGAGAGAACAAGTGAACCAACATGAGGAGGGAGTAGCCAGCCAGGGCGCTAAAGCTGCCCAATGCGTGCCACACCCAGCCCTCCTCGTCCCAGAGTAGCAAAGGATGTCTTGCAACCCACAGACATGTTCCGGGAGTCTCGTGAACCCCCCATCCCATCCCCTCCCATCCCATCCCATCCCCTCCCGGCGGCTGCGGCAATCCTCAGTCCCCTCCAATTGTAGCTGTTACAGGGCAATGAGTGTGAAGGGGGAAAGAGGAGGGGGTGAGGGGACTGTGGTTATTTAAAGACCCGCTTTTCTCCCCACCACACTGCCTGGCGTCCATGCGCGGCTGAATATCTGGTATATAGCTACAGAGCTTCGCATCGCATCGCGTCCGTCTTGAGTCTTTGTTAACTGTCTTGTCTGTTTTGTTTTGCTTGTTTAATTTATTTCTCTATTTCTCTATTCTTAATTACTCCTCTATTTCTACTATACGCACTGCTAGCCAGGCGTCAATTTCTCAGAAAACCCAATTTCCCCCAAACCCAAAAACCCCAAACCCAAAAACCCAAAAACCCAAAAACCCAAAAACCCCACAAAACCGTCCAAATGGCAACAATCTTCCCACCCCGAACCGCCTCTCCCTCACGCTACCAACGCACCCCCTCACCAACCTCCTTCCTCGCGCAACCACAACTCCACCAGCAACAACAACAACAACAAGCAAAACCCTTCAAGCTCGCCCCCCCGCCCAAGAAGAAGCTCCGCATGTCGTCGTCCGCCGCCGAACGCGCGCCGTCGAAGCGCCAGCAGGCCGCGAGGGAGGTTGTCGACATCCTGCACGAGATCTCGACGCTGCTCGTAAGTCCCTCAGCTCACCCCTCCCCCCTCTGGCCGAGGAAGGAGGCTGATTGGGCGTGCGAGGTAGAATACACACCTCGACAGGAACGCGCTCTCGCTCTGCGTGTCGCTTGTTGAGAATGGTGTGAATCCTGAGGCGCTGGCTGTAGGTGAATTCCCTCCCTACCCCTACCCCTACCCCTACCCCTGTACTGTGTGCTTGTGTGGTGGTGGAGGCTGATAGTGGTGTGTGGTGTGGTGTGGATAGACTGTGATCAAAGAGCTTAGACGCGAGAGCGAGGGACTCAGGGACGCGCCGGAGGCGATGGATGTGGATGGATAGCTAGCTAGCTAGCTCTAGCTTGGGTTAATACAAGTAGCGGTGGCATACCCCCCCCCTAGGTGGTGATGGTATAAATTTAATTGTCGTGATGACCTTTGATGAAGTGGGGTGTTTTCTGTGGTTTTTTTTTTTCATCTTGCGAAATGTCTACTGTAGCCCCATGGGGACTTTGTATGTGGTGTTGCTTGCTGTGCAATTGCAATTCGGGGTCTTTTAGTTAGTTCATGGGTGAAGGGTAGATCTGCTCTGCTCTGCTCTAGATAACTGGACTGGACTAATTGAAACCATGGTTCTTTTATACCTCTGCATCTATAACTGGTACATAGTCCTGGTTCTGGTTATTAATTGGAAACCAAACCCTGAATTAATGATCTGGATCGTGAAAATAAGGTTTTCCCCCCATCGACACTAGCTACGATAGAGTTGCACTTTAAAGACGTGGCTAGTACCCTGCACATACAGCTGTACAGCCAATCATGGAAAGTGCAGGTATAGATTATTACACTAAATGTTACTATTCTGTACCGTAAAGGGACTATTGAGTTAGTGTCACTACTACTGCTGCTGTTACTATTGCTGATACTATTACTACATGTGCTATTACTACTATGTAGTTAGTCTGCTGATTATCGTACACCACCACCACCACCACCATTTCCTTTCCCGTACTCTACATCACAACGTCCCACACTCGGAATGTCCATATACTTCTAACAGCCTCTTTTCCTAATATTTAAGGGGTAGTAACTTTTTAACTTGTACACACACCGCTGTAAGTTGATATATATAAACAACCCAAACACAAAAAAAAGTCCCTCCCAAAAATGATTATACAGATAAAACCAATATAGAAAAGAAAAAGCGAATGAGATGAGACCCTGCCCAAAACAGAACGAGAAAACCCAAACAACAGATGGGGAATAAACAAAAAAAAAAAAAAAAGAGGGGGAAAGAAGAGGAGAAATATAAAGAAAGGGAAAGAAAAGGAAAATAAGAAGAGACAAATGATATAGAACGCCCAACCCCCCCCAAATCCCAGATCGTAACCATGCCGTAAGTATAAAAGGATAAAAACTCACAAAAGGGAAACGCAACCCCCCAAAAACGAAAGACGAAAGAAGGCAGAGAGCAGAGAAAGGGCCAATTTTTCCTAAACCTAAGAGGCCCCGCCGATATTCACACTCCCCTTCCTCTGCAGTCCAGCGCCGGGCGGAAATCCTCGTGGCGGCTGCTGCCCACCAGCCACTGCCTGGGGTGTACCGCCGCCGCCAAAGAGCCCGCCGCCGTCCCCGTTGGTGTTGTTGTACCCACCGAGGGGCCTGAGTGCCCCGGCGAGCATCTCACGCATACGGACATACTGGTACTTTCTCTTGACGGGGACGAGGATGTGACGCTCGATGGGCTGCGGGCATGAGCGTGCCACGGCGGCCATGACAAGCTCGGTTTCTTCGTCGGAGTCAACCGGGATGGCGTTGGCTTCGATTTCATCAGGTGGTGGGGCCCCGGCGTTGATTGCCGCTTCTATACATAGAGGTTAGTGGCGAAAGAAGGGGGAAGCGGGGAAAGCGGGGGAGACGTACTTTGTTGTTTGGCTTGGTTCTTCTTCTGGTAGGCAGCAAGGAGGACGTCGTATGGCTGGGAACGGCCGAGGACGGAACGCTTAGCGCCCATAGAATGGGATTTACAAGTCAGTGAGCGGGCGCAGAGGGCACCGTTGGGCAGCTGGACACCGCATTGTTTTTCGACGTCGACGGGAGCTATTTGGGAGGTTAGTTTTTTATGATATCATGGTGATAAAGGAGGTTACAATTACCCTTTGGTTTCTCCGTCTTTGCCGGCTTCTCCTTCTTCTTTTTGGCCTTTGGTTCTTTCGGCAACTTAGGTTCTACAACACAATCCCTCATATCAGCGTCCCCGCTCGCAACCCTAACCCAACCAGAAACAAACATATAAACCCACCATCAGCCTTCCTCTTCTTGCTCTTGGCCCCATCTCCCTCCTTCTTCGCCATTTTCTTGGCACCCTTCTTTTGCGTCGCCTGCGGCGGCGGCGGGAGATCACCAACTACACTCCCCTCATCGTCCCCGCCGGCATCCTTGCGACCCTCCTCTCTCGCCGCGGCCTCCTTGGCCTTCTTGCGCTCCTTGGCCTTGTCATTCTTTGCCTTTTGGCATGCCTTGAGATGCTGTGCTGCGACGCTCTTGATGACGGGCTTCTTGCAGACACGGCACAGGCCGTATTCCGGGTTGTCTTCGAGCGGGCGGAGGGTAGGGAAGGTGAGGAGATCGTGGTCGTCGAGTTGCGTGATACCGGGGGATTTTGCGGAGGGCGTATTATCTATATGCTAGTTAGTTGGGGGGTTGTGCATTGAGTGTTGTTAGGCATTGAGAGGGAGCGATGGGGTGAGTCGAGGGCGGCGTTAGGCACGCATGTATGTACCTTGCTGCTCCAGCTGGTCGGCGCGTTGTTTCCAGGTCTGATGGTTCTTTCCGACTTTCTTCGGGTTCTTGAGCTTGATGGTTGTTGCTGTGCGCTCTTGGTCGCTAAAGAGCTTTAGAACCGCGTCGCTGGAGCGCGTCATTGCGAGCTGTTAGCTGGTTAGCTGTGTAGGGTGTTGGGGGCGGTAGCTTGCTAGGCTATATGAGGCCGGCCGTGGTCTTGATGGTGTGGGGGGGGTTTCGTGGGGTTGTGGGTGGGTTGGGCGGGTGGGCTGTCGATAGGGAACTTTCCTCGAGGAAGGGAGGTGGTTGCAGATGCCGTCCGTCGAAAATCTTCCAAGCTGCGTTGCGTCGGTCGGGGCTGTGCCAAGCTCGGTCACGTGAGGGAGGAATATTCCGGATGTTGTTGCTGTGCGAGTTCGCAACTCGACTGCGTGAGGTGAGGATAAATGCAACAAAAGGGGGCTTGTAAGTTGCTGGTGAATGGGGGCTAAGTAGAGCTGCGCTAATGCTATGACATCATACATGTGAGGTGATGAGATTGACTTTTTAGACCTCTCCTCCGTCCCCCAGGCTGGGAATGGTGTGTTTCGTTTTACCAGGTAAGCTGTGATTGGGAGGTTTGGAAAAGACGGGGTAACTAGAGCCCACATGATATCGTGGGGAAACCATATTCTTGGCAGTGAAAGAAAGAGGGGGCTTTGTTTATTTCCCCCAATGAGAAGGCTTGAGCCCATCTACTACTACTCTACTACCACAAAATAACGGACGAGGCAATATAAAACATCATGATACGAGAAAGAGAGTGCAACAAGTACACAACAAGTTGAACAATATTATGTACTGAAAAAACAGCTAAAAAAAAACTCCAAAAAGCAAGAGAAAAGGTAACGTTAATAAAACTCGTAAAGCTAAGCTAATAAAACAACCAACCAACCACACTGCCAGAGTCAAAGTCAAGTCAAGTAAATCACACTAGAAGAAAATAGAGTAAAAAAAATATAAAAAATCGAAATAAAAATGAAGGACGAAAACTCCCAACACCCTCGAGACTTCGACCCATTAGCAGAACAGAACAAACCCGACGAAAGCACATATTTTCCCTACCCACCCTAGACCTAGATATAAGTAACCTTCATGCCCATGCCTACTGTCCTCGTGGTCTTGATCCACGCCAACAACAGCAGCCTCCTGACTCTCTCCCTGACTCTCCGCTTACTAGTCATCCACACGACCATCGCCAGCATGATGACCGTTCGCAACAAGGCAAACCGTCCCTGTGCCGTGTTCATCTGCGCCTGGAGTCTGTTTAGTAGCGCCGTTGTCGTCGCAAAGAGGTTCTTTGAGTCTGCTTTGGTCGTTGCCGTAACCTTGCCGTTATTGGCAGTAACCTTGCCCTCCTTAGTGGCGCCGTTGACTGAAGCAGGCTTTCGCTTGCCTTCCCTCCTTTGTGGGCGAGCGGTAGTTGTAGAGGTACGCCTAGTTGTTGTAACTACAGATCCGGTGCGAGATCCTGCTACAGAGGGGGCTGGCGAGTGGACGCTGATAGCCTCATCGGCGAGGTCTTGTTGGCGGTCATGCTCCCATTGTGCCTCGCGCCGCGCGGCGAGCTCTTGGGAGTAGCGTTCGGCTTCTTCGGAATCTTTTTGGAGCTGGTCTAGGGTTGCTTGGAATAGCTGTATATAGTTGTTAGCTTGAGCCGAGGTAGTGAAGGGGTAATGATTATATTACCTCTTTTTGTTCATCATCGAGATCTGGTGAGGTATGTGTGAATTCTCGGGCGTAGTCCCAGTCTCCGACTCGCGGGATGACATGCAGGATATAGAGCTCTACGAGCTTGACACGCTGCGAGATGCCCTTTGGATCATCATCCGTGCCAATAGTGTTGGGGGCAGCGGAGAGATAGGCCTCGATCTTCTTCTGGGTTACCGATTGGTCCTGTGAGTGTGCCAATAGGAGGGTTACTCTATAAATACCCGTTAGTAATTAAATCCTGCCAATATAATCATTTCCTCTCCCGCAATACGTACAGCGCGTTCACCACCTCGGCATCGACCCGTCCCTCCCCGCCATATGTCGCAATGGCTTCATCCCACACAGCGCCACTGCGCACTCTCGCAAGAATCTTCCTCCACTCAGCGGGGCCCCAGACCTTCTTTCCCTCCTCAGCGCCCATCTTTGCGGCCGCATCGAGAATCGCAAAGTACAGACTCCACACCTTTGTCCGTAGCGCGCGCGAGCACTTTACGCGCGGAGATACCGAGTCCGCGATGATGGGTTGCAGCGTCGCGAGGGCGTCGGGTAGCCGCCGCGTGAGAAAGAGGTTGGTACAGGTGCGGTAGACACGTGCTACGGTTGCGGGGGTCGCGAGGGGCTGCTGCTGGTGCGGTGCTTTTTGGGCGTTTGCTGCAGGGGCGGGCGGGGTGTGCAGCGGGTGGTGCCCGTTCATTCTGTCGGTCTGGACCATGGAGCGGGGGGGTGGCGGGAATGGGATGACGCGGAGCATGGCGGTGGTGCTGCTGGGTGGGTTGGTTGGCGTGGGTGTAGGGGGGTGTTATATACTGTGTTTACCACTGTGGGGGATTGCGGAGCCAAGGATGGGGGGAGGTGGTGGATAGGGCTCGCGGGAAGGGTGTGGGGTTGTGCTTATTTTTATGCTGCTCTAGTCTCTTTAGTGAATACCCGATGGGAAAGTAGGGAAGGTGGTTGTGTGGTGCAGCGAGAATGATGCTGTGCTCGTGCAGTAGGAAGGTTGCTTGTTGCTTGCTGCTTGCTGCTGCTGGTGGTTGTGATCTGCTTGTGAGGAAGCAACCGAGGAAGGGGAGTAAGGAAGGAAAGAAGGAAGGGAAAAGCTGGGGGAGAGAGAGATCGAGGGTTTTGGCTCTGGCACGCGATAGATGATCAAGGAAGAGACAGATGGAGTGGAACAGAGCTGAGAAGCTGCAGGGTGCTTTGCGTGTGGGTGGGTAGAGTACAGGAGATGTTGTGCTGTGTTGTTGATCCAGCAGATATTGTGATATGATATGATATGGGGGGCTTTTTTTTCTTCGTGAGGGATTGATCCTACTCGTGGAGAAATATTTTAACCTCGGGATGCTTCCAAACAATGATCATGCAAGCAGTGGGCGAGAACTCTAGCTGGGCAGTGCGGTGGGTAAACACGAGTGGTAAGGGAGAAATCAAAGCAGAAGCAGTGGATTATATTGGTTTGTATGTAGGGTACATATGTAGAGAGAGATCCGATCCGTACTTTCACTCCCCCCCGGCCTTGAACTTGACTCGTTGAAGAAACTTAAGCTCGCTTTCGGCACTCTCCCAGCCAACCAGCCAACCACCCAACCAGCCTTCCCTGGGAAGCAAAAAAAAAGGAGGGTTGTGAGTACGGCGTCTGGAGATCTAACTTGCCCGGGCCGAGGTCGGGGGGTTCACCTTACATCAGCCACCACGACAAGGGCATGTGTTACCCTGCGCGTGTTACGGAATGGGATAGAAGCCGCAATGGAAGAATGGTGATATCTGGTGATGCATATAGTAGTTTTTTTTTTGTTTATCCCACCGTTTCTACAGTGGATTAACTCAATGCTATCCTGACCATGTAAGAAGCCAAGTGTATCTTTAAATCCCATGCTTTCATCTTGTATGTATCTTGCTTTTCAGTTCACGATTCACATGCTTGCAGAGGAAGCTTGCCTAGTACTGTCCGTTAATTACATGTAATTTAGCTTGATTGTCTTCAAAAGCAACTGTGCGTGACGAACCCGTGCGCCAAGCAGAGCTTAACGCGTCCACCTCCTGCAATTGACCCTTCCTCAATACCCCGCGACACGACACCCCTCGAAACCCCGCTTGAAGTAGGTTCGTGCCCGTGTTTTTCGTTGTAGCAATCTCACCACGATAGGGTCAGGCGATTAACGTCATCCCGCTCTCAGCAACCAACTACAATACATCCCACCCACGCTCAACTACAAGGAGCTATGAATGTTTCAAGGTCCAACTTTGCGGATAATCTCCCTGAGATTATCGATGAAATAAATAATTCATACTTTGGTTCGTATTAGCCCACTATTCTGTAAGCCCTGACAACCTAACGAAGATTAGTGACATTTGATCTTGAACTATCTGGGATTCATACGGGCTCAAAGAACTCAGCCCAAGGACGACGACAGACTCTCCAGGAACGATACAAAGAGATTAAAGAAGCTGCCGAGCGTTTTCAAGTCATTCAGTTCGGAATTTGTATCGTCAGTGTGGACAAATCCGAGAGTAATCACTCCCCACCCCCAGCTCCAGTTGTAACTACTAACTCTCTCAAGACAAATACATCTTGCGTCCCTACAACTTCAATGTCTCGCCCACCAGTGAAAACAAGTTCGGCCTTAATCGTGAATATACAGTTCAAGCCAGTGCCCTTGAATTTCTCGCCGAGCACAACTTCAACTTCAATACGCAACTTATTAGTGGAGTGCGCTACCTGAGCCACGATGAAGAGAAACAAATTATCGACCGTGAGGATCGTCTAGCCAATGAGCCGAAGGAGGATATCAGTGTCGATGAGCAATCGAAGCAGTTTGTATGAGGTTGATGGGAAAAAACCCAGAGATATTGTGGTCCATGCAGCAGGCTAATTATATCACCTATATTGATGCGCAGGTTGCAGACTTTAAGAAGAACATCCAGGAGTGGCTAGACGACCCAAATGTACCCATTTCCCTCTAGCTCTATGCTCTCTGTACGCTCTCACTAACACCTAGCCCGATGCAGCCGCTATATGACTTTCTCAATATCACTACTCCAAGTCAGTGCATGAACGGATACCAAAAGCGCCTGGTCCACCAGATTGTCCGTGCCGAGTTTCCTAGCTTGGCTACAATTGGAAAGCCAACCTTTGTGCAGGTCGTCAAGAATGACCCCGCCGCCGATAAGTTCAAGAAGGAAGAGCGACGTGCGAAGTTCGACAAGGATCTCCAGAAGGCTATTGGCCTCAGGCATCTGATTGACGCACTGTTCAAAAGCAAGAAGCCGCTTGTGGGTCACAATCTCATTACTGATCTTGTGTATCTTTATCAGTGCTTCATTGGCAATCTGCCTGATACCGAAAAAGAGTTTGCTGCAATCATCCATGCGGCGTTCCCTGTGTGCGTTTCCTTCCCCTGAATGTTCTTTTATGGGATATCATTGCTAATGCAACAAAAGTGTACTGGACACAAAGTACGTCGCCACTTGTGTCGGCGAAACACTCCACAACAGCTCCAACCTGCACAGCCTTTTTGAATCCTTTGCACTGCAGAAGCTCCCCGTCGCCGAGCTCGCAACTGGTCACACCAGTTATAGTCTCCGAGACAGTGCCCACGAAGCGGGATACGACGCCTACATCACCGCATACGTCCTGCTCAAGGCTGCAGGTAGATACAACAGCTACTTACAGGCCCTCAAAAAGGAAGGCGAGAGCAACGCGGAGGAGATGGCCGCTGCCAAGCTTATGGATCATATCTACCACACCGAGCTCATGAGTGAGGAGTCCAAGCATATTGAGTACGAGGGGTCCCTTCCGCCGTTTAGTAAGAATGGCCTTGGCGGATTTTGGGCGAGCTGGTGCAATAAACTGAGGGTGAACGGAACTGCCGAGTCCGAATTCATTCTCAAGTGAAGAACGGTGGAAAATTTTCTTGTTTTGCGTCTTCTTTTAACCGTCGTGGCACCTATACTTTACTCTTTAAAAAGGGAATAACTGTTGATTTTCTTTGGGGCCTGGGTAAAAGTCCGTTGAGTTAGATACCTTTTCATTAACCAGCGCATTTCTCTATTTCAGCGAGTGATATTCTATGAAGCAACCAAGCTTCATTTTTTTTGACAGAAAATGAAAAGTGAAGGTATTCACTAAATCAGATATTATCGATACAAAAGTGATTGCCTTTTGTTCCATAGCATAACATTCTAGATACCCCATGTTTATGCGGTAAAGGTTTCACGCATTCAAAAAACCTTAAATAAGCCTCTACTGAGCTACAGACACCCGTTTTTTTACTACTGTCTCTGAGCCAATAGTGTGTTTATGTGGACGTACCACCATGGTATAACCGAAGTTACAGCTCCACTGTGTACTCTATACACCTTACACAATGGGCACCTCTAGTCAAAAGCTTAACAGCACTTCCTGGATACTCTTATTAAGTTCATCCACAATAGATATTATGTAGAAGATCTTTAGACAGGTCCATATATAGAAATACAACAAAATATATGTTAATTTCTATTACACAACTCTACTGCGTACCTGCCAAACAAGATCTGTATAATCATACAAGAATCTGTGTCTCCCACCAGCACCAATTTCATAACAAAACGCTGTGTAAATGGTCCCTGGATATTTGCAAGGGCAATAGAAATAGACCCTTTACTAGCGGCAATGACTGCACTATATAGTGCTTCTAGAGCCTATACTGCACAGGGGTTTGCATACAATCAATAAGAACAGCACAGGGATGTGTAGCGTAATCTCATATGCAGCGAGTGATATCTGGTGCGGATTGACGAAGTGCATGGTTTGGGGTGGATAAGAGCACCCATGTCCCTGATCGGGGAAGGACTTTCCCACAAGGGGCCTATAGAAGTGGGTATGATCCGAGTTGAGAAGAGCTTGACTTTTAGCCCAAGCCGGCTTGGATTGTATGGAGAAAACTCAGTTGGTTTGAGTTTATTAAGTCGGTAAAAGAACTGTTTGGGGGTCGTTGGTATTCTAAACGACATGGGGCACTATTATTGAAAACTAATTATTAGAGGTCCCTGCATCACTTGTATATGTGACTTGATAGAATGCTTGGGTTTGTTGAGCTTTCAGAATAGTAGTCTAGTTAGCTTGGACTATTGAATATTGGATTAGACCGAGCTTAGAGCTCGAACCAGCTTGGCTTATGTCCACTACCACATGATGATGGAGGACAGATAACGCCTGCCGAATCATGGAGGAGCATCTCAGGGTGAGCATCAAGAAACAGCGAGCCCAAGGGCATCAGCAAATACCGGAATATGCGCTGGCTCGTTATGGATGCTGATATCTGGGTGACGAGTAGACGTAGATACAATTAAACCTACGTAGTTATATGGAGATGAAATATGGTAAAGGCGGATTGGCATATATGATTATAGCATATAAGATCTAACAGAGAAATTAGCCAGATGTCTAGTATGTGGCTGATAGAAGGTTGAACCGTTTGTTCAATGCAATTGATTCGGGTACCTGGTTGTAGACTTTATCCGTGGCTTGGGCGAGTATGGCAATTAGAAGAAGCACCTCTAAAGCCTGCATCAAATGAAGCGTCTACATCGATGCAGACCTCGCTCAAAATGAGGATCCGGTTATAGCTGCAAGCGGCCACGTTCAAAGCATCTAGTAGGATGGGGCACGTACTGATCTCGACTAGGAAAACCTCGTCTTAGTATGCCCAGTGAAGCTCTGCGATGTGTTTTTGTAGCCCCGCCTGTTTGATGCATCGTTGTGCTTGCGCGTTTCAAAAGTCGACTTGATACATCATAGATTATCACTCAGTCATTAATTCCATGTTCGTACAGCATGTAATATCGATAAGGCTCCGTACCACATGTAGCTATCCTCAACCCTGAGTATTACCACTATCCATCTACATACAGGTAGCACATAACAGTATCTTATCTCCCGGACTTGGGTTCCATTTAAAACGCGCCCAATATACGTACACCTGAACTTAAACTTCCACAAAAGAAAAGAAGCGAAGAAGAAAAAAAAAAAAAAAAAAAAAAAAAACCTGGAAGCGGGACCCGACACAGAGCGGAAAGGCACATGCACGGGATACATACATACCATGTGTAGGTACATGAATGTACTCTCGAGAGCACTGTGCTCTATATTTTACCCATTTAGAGTGGTGGTAAATGCGGGGTCTGTTTATCGTTCGCATCAGGATTTGATCTGAGACTAGGATTACACACATGTATCCTTTCCCTCATCGCCCCCTTTCCCCATGTACTACACTATTTTACGATCCCCGGGAAGAGGATAGGTGCATTGCCTTGCTCTATTTCTCGCCGGCGGATGAGATCCGGCGAGCCGGGAGAAGGCGCATGTCTAGCATTCTTACTCCCGCATTAGGCAGAATTTAAAAAATCATGGGGGTTTCTAGATTATCAGTTCTAGAATTTGGGGTGTATGATAAGTAACCTGAAAAAATGTATTTCAATTTTTTCCTTATGTCTACACTACAATTGAAGGGTCTTCCCGATCTTCCCTTTTCCTTGAATTGCTGGACATAGCTTTAGTAGCTATACCCACACAATTCCGAATATTTGACAAACATCTTCATGCGTTCGACCCCCTTAGACATCCCCTCCACCATCATTTCCCATTCACCAGCCAATAAATAGATATAGAAAAACGAATGACTGACTAGAAAAAATGTTCAAGCGGTATAAAGCGGTTTCAACAGTAGAAAAAAAGAAAGAAAGAAGACTCGTCGACAAAGTAGTTTCCATACAAGAAGATAGTCCACAGGCCATAACAAAAAGTTTAGAATAACAAGAGGAGGAGGAGGAGGAAAGAGTAACTAACGTTAAGACAACTAACAAATTTTATTTTTCCCGGCTCCAGACTGTACTGACCAACTGACGGAGGTCTCAAAGCACAATACAATCAATCAATCAATCACTCGAACACCCGCCCATGAATTCGAACAATAAAATAAAGAAAATAAAACCCTTCCAATCCATGATGATCCCGCGTGAGTATCCCATCCACTCCACACTTTGTCCAAAATAATAAAAGAGATGAAATAACCCCGTATTCGAACAATCCAAAGCAAAATAAAAGAAGGAAAAGATAAAAACAATTGACGCCCCACCCGTCTTTCCAATCAAAATATTAGAGGGAAGAAATAAGAAACCTAAGGGAATAATAAAAATCACTTATACTTATCAGCCCCGGATTGTTTCTGGTTTATTACGATTCCATCTCGGAGCCGGGGGCGCCATCGTCGTCCATGGTTGCGTCGTCGTTTTCGTGTTCAAACACTCCAGATGATTCTTCCGATGCAGCACTTGAGGCCCGGTAGTATTCACTCAGGGCTTCGGGTGGTGGTGAAAATGAAAATACCTGAGTTTAACGTTAGTATATGTATCTAAATAAAGGAAAGAGCAGTCAATTCTTACCTCCATTATCGTCCTGTTCGACCTTAAAGCCAAAATGACAGCTTTCTCCTCTTCAAAAGCAACCCTCCAGACCGCATCCGCAGGGTTCGATAGCTCCCGAACCAGTTGGCCAGACCTCAGATCCCAAATCTTAACCCTACCATCGCTTCCTCCGCTAACGATCCTTGTTTCATCGAACTGTAACGAGGTGACGCTATTATCATGGGCGGCAAGTCTATGCACACAAGCATATTTATCCAGACTCCAAACACGGACCGATCCATCAGATCCTCCGGTAACAAGAGTGTTTCCGCGCATCTGGAGCTGCCCTACAAGTGATGTGTGGCCCTGAAGAACAGCAAGGCAATTTCTAATGCAGGTTAGATTTAGAGAGAATATTATAACCCAGAGAATAAATAATAATTACCCAGTCGCGGGGTCCCATATCCGAACGGAGGTATCAAGTGATCCAGTGGCAATCCTGTTTCCGTCAAAGGCGATAGCATAAATTTGGCTAAGATGTCCTGTCAAAGTTCGAAGACAAGTGCCTTGTGAGATACTCCAGACTTTAGCAGTTGTATCATAACTACCGCTCACAACCAAGTCTCCGTGAATTTCCAAGCAACGGACGCTTGCTTGATGTCCAACAAGAACATTCAAGCAAACACCCTTCTCGATATCCCAAATCCTCAAAGTTGTGTCCCTGGATCCAGAGATGGCCGTCTTGTGGTCACTCATTTTTAGGCACCTGACAGTTGAAGTGTGACCTCGTAAAATCGCTTTGCACTCTCTGGCAAATTCATTAGTCTGGCCTGGCGTCATGTGCATAACAGGGATTCTTGTTCTTACCCCTTCTCCATATCCCACACTCTAACGTCCCTGTCGCAACCACCGCTGACCAATGTGTTACCCCAAGGAACCATAGCCCAAACTCCCATCACATGCCCAGTCAGGGTCCTCAAAATTTTACCATCTGCATCAAAAACATGTATCTTGGCATTATCCAAGGCGATGACGATGTAATCGGGAGTAAGGTGAAGAGATGTAACAACACCCTGATCAGGCGTGATGTGCCTTGCAATCGCATTCCCTCCAGTCCTCCACGCAGTCTCAACCATGTACCTTTGCTTGAAATGGGACTTGTATGAGGTGGCTTTTGGCCTTCTCCTTTTTGAGCGAGTAAACTGGGGTGAAATCTCTGAGGTAAATCCAGAAGGTGATGATACCGGGTTTGAAAATCCTGTATCCTTGGGGGAAATTGGGTTAGTGGTACTAAAGAGTGATGGATCATGATGCGAATGATGCATGGAGCCGTAAGCTGCTGTCCCACTTAAGCGCCTGTAACTATGCTTTTCACAAAGCTTTTTCCAAGTAAGGTCGTCACTCAAAAGCCCGTGCCAGTGATTTGACACCTGCGAGGCTCGGGCCAACGTTTTCGGGTCATCAATATATGAAATTACCTATAGGATATCAATATATGCTTAGGATTATTCGAGTAGATACGGAAACTCATACCCTAAGACAAAGCTCATTCGGCAACGACTTGAAAGGATCCTTCTTAAGTCGCGGGGACACGTAGTTCAGCACGAAGCTCAATTGTTGCGAGTCGCAAAGATTTAGGATCTCAGCTAGAAAGCGCTGACGCTCTTGTGAATCCAACCTGCTGAAGTGAGGTCTAACATCCTTCAAGATAGCATCCTCGTTCTCGTTCGCCGTGGACCACGTAGGTAACCGATGGAGCTGGGGTGTAGGAGAGGGTGCAGGGGTTGGGGGACTAGCCGGAGCAGAGGGGAGAAGATTCTGAAGAGGGGAAACTATAGGTCTTGTTGGAGTCGGTAAAGGTCGTGGATGCGAGTGGGTAACAGCCTCCGGCCTCCTCAAACGACCTGGACGCATATTGATAGTCGGGACATTTTTTCCATCCACCTCACCATTATCTGAATCAGACGTTCGTCGAACGCCAAAGCCGAGAGGTCTCCTGTAATCACCCCCTTCCATTTTCTGTGACCGCTGATAAACTCAGGATATGTCCAATCCTAACTGATATCTTTCTTCTTTTTCTTTCTTTTTCTCGCGTTTTTCTGTTGTATTTCAAACTGGTCTTCCAGGTGGTGGCGGCAAGAATGTTAATTCCGACAATGTTGTTTCGCCGAATTTGTAATGGGGAACGACGAAGGGTTGTTAGATGAGTAAATAGAATATGGGTATTTATTTCGCTTGTGGGGGATGGCGATAAGAACTCAACAGTCGCGGATGCGAAAAGCGACAGACGATGAACTCGAGAGACAGATGGACTCGATGAGCGAGCGGGTGCAGATGGGGAGTACTTAAGGGGGACAGTGGGGTGTGGATGGGCGGTGGATGGCTAGCTGGCTGGCTGGCTGGCTGGATTGGGTGTGGATGGAAGGATGAATAGTTGGACAAGTGGTAGTAGACGATGCAGCAGGATCTAGGCAAGTTTCGATGGCGGGCGGCAGAAGAGGGGAATAGACGAAGGAAGAGCCAGAGGAAAGAAAAGGGCGGCGCAACTAGCAGCGGCAGCACAAAGGCACCAGACCAGGGAGAGGGCAACGGCGGTAGGGCAGCAGACCGGTAATCAGCGTTTACTGGCTGGCGGGGTCTGCGGATGTACCTGCTGGAACAACTGGAAGTGTTGTGGGGGATTTAGATAAGTAGACTATGAATAGCCCGAGATCTCTTTCTATCTTGTACTGAAAGTATTTGGTCTTGTATGGTATCGACGTATATACACCTTTGGGAGGGGAGCGTGGAAGCTTGCAGAATGAACCTGGGCAGAATGATGAAGAACCCCAGCACAAAAAGTGAGAGAAAAAGAAAAGAAAACTGTATTTTTAAGATAAAAAAAAGGGGAGGGGAGAGCGGGGAGATATCGACCGGTCTTGGGGGGGTGTCTGAGATGCTGTGAAGGCGTGTGTGGGGCGGTGGATGATTTCCCTCGGTCTTAACAAGGCACAAATTGTACCTATCGATAAAATACGTAGAGCCAGTAACCGCAATATTTGAAGTTTATTTGATAGAGAGCAATGAAGTGGTCTGATGTGATCCTACAAGAAACAAACTGCACACACAAGAAGTAGTGAATAAAATAAAAAGGGGAAAAAAGGAAATATACAGTGACGAGATCAAGCAAGCAAGCTGACGATGGTGGGAGGGGTGGATTGCCACTGATTGATTGAAGAGAGCATGGCGGTCAGAAGGGTTTGTCGCGGCTGATATTGGGGCACCTCACAGCAAGGGGTCGTTTTGCTTCCTACACCACTCCTGTTCCTGCAACACCGACAGTAGGGGCTTGGAACCACCCACTCACCATTTACATCCTCATTAGTGATTTGACCTCATCCCAAAGCTCTGGTTCTTGAGCTTACCACTACCTGTGCTCCTTTGTACAGCCACTTTGCGGACTGGCGTTGAGAGCGAGATTGTACACGTTATCTCTTAAAGGTTATGTACATACATGTAGGTACTTATTCTAGGCACGTAAGTACGAACGTTTGAACATAGCATTGTATTTTTCAGAATTGACGCAGCGCCAGCGGAGAATGGGACAATGTGGGGCATCTTCGATTTTCTTTTGATTAAAACAAACTCCTCGGCCCCCGCTTCACACGTTCTTCAAGAGATCAAATATGATAGGTTTGCATATTCCGGTCACTTGGACATTGACATGCCCGGAGGTAAATGTACGCCCTAATGAACCTACATATAAGTACATATAAAGCTGTTTATTTAACCGACAAACACGAACTCAATTAGTCCTAGCTTAATTACAGACAAAGAAGAAGAATCTCGAAATCCATAGAGAATAATTGCCGTGTTTCAAGGCCCAATGTTTCGTGAGCTAGAAACCACAACCAGTCGTTGATACACCGAGCTCACCCGAAACATCCCTACACGCTTAAGCTCAACGGAGAAGTGTAAACAAAATTACACGCCACACTGTTTCTTCAACCGCCATATATCTTCATGGCTCTTACCTACCCTACAAACAAGCCAAGCCCAAGCAACAGCTCTTGATAACTAGGCACTGTAAATAAAGCTTCAGCCTCAAGCGAATCCAGTTATCGGGCTGCAGGTACGTTAACTAGTTGGTTAATTAGTCCATGACCTTATCCCGGTTTTAGTTTAACTTCAGGAGCGAATAGCACCGAGTAGTTAGAACTCGACCCTATCCTTGTGCAGATCTTCTGAGAATGGCTGACATGAGGTTCAGAAAATGTTATTCTTGTGCTCTCCGACCCATCCATCCCCGGCAATGAAAGGTTTTTATTCTTAGGCTACTGCTGCTGCAAACCAACGGCTCAGTCGGAACCGGTGCTCTTTTAAAATAAAAATAGTCGACAACCAGGTGATGAAAGAAAAAAAAACAGGACTAAAGTCAACAAGGATGCAGAGGTTCTTCTCACGCGTAGGAGTCACAAACAAAGACCAGATGAAAACGTATGTACACGTAGTCTACATACATGTAGGTGCTACGTATACGTAGGCACTACCTAGTACAATACTCCAGGTAGCAACGGGAGCCTTATAACCTGCATCCTCAAACTTTAAAGAGACGAGAGCCCTGTGACTCGCAAAAGAAGATAGGCAACGAAGCTAATGGGCCTGGCGGGGTACATAGGGTCTTGGTTTGGCGGGGCATGCAAAGTAAGGGCCCGAACTTATCATGATAAGCGTCATAAGGCTGTATTAGAACAATCACTCAGGAATAGGAGGTGTCTTCTGCCTCAAACGTCAAGTAGCACGGATATTGCGAACACTTCACATGTCCGGGTCACCAGTAAAGGGAAGAGCCTTCCAGGATCCTCATGATAGAGCCACTTTCAGTTGCAGAAATATCATAGAAGTACGGGCACACCTGTGGAATAAATCCCTTGAGCGAGTGGCCCAGAATCTGTGCTCTTGGGCTCCAGGAATAACCACACTCGTGCCTACGTTCCGTCTCTTTCACCAACACCTTTTTCTCGCCTGAACAGCCCCATTACGACAGAATAACTGCCATCGAACTGAACATAGATCACTCGCCGCAGATGTAATGGCTTCCCCGCAGATCGGGAGCTCGGGGCCGATTTGAAGATCTGTTATAAAGGTCTTGCCTGGCCTGGGGTAATAACTAGTATGTTTATAATACACGTTGGCAAAATAATAAAGGTAATGAATTGACAGCCATTTTCAAAAGTGGACTTGAACCCTTTACCCCCCCCCCCCCCCCCCAAGAACCCGGAACAGAACCCCGTTCTACAGGCCTACATAACAGCACTGGTTACTCAGTAGCCCCGTGCTCGACAGTCAACGAATTAAAGAGAGAGAGAGAGAGAAAATCCTTTTTTGCTTTCCGCTAAACACAAACCGCAACGGGGGCGCTCAAGTTGCACAGCGCCAATAAAAGTATCACAAAAGGGGAAGAAATAGGTAAGAAACACTACAGAGAAGAGGTAGGTAATATAAAAATGAAAAGATACAAAAGTGACCAGACCACAGAACAAGAAGTTACAGTACGGCAAGAAACTAATAAAAACTAAGTACAAACGACAGCTTTAGATTTTTTGAACTGCCTTACAGCTACAACTATCCTTTATTGAGCAGTCCTGCGACGATTCCCTCCCCCCAATTTCAGAACAAAACATTAAGTTTCATTATCATCACTAGCGGAGCGGCCGATCCTCTGGCCTCACGCTCTTCATCTCTCCGTATTTTCCTCTTTCCTTCGTGGTATCGTATGCCTGAATTAGCCTTGATTGACCTTCGTCGGCCTGTGAGAACGCATATCCGCGCTGTTTTCGCATCCGTTGTACTTGTCGTACTTTGCGGATAGCCTTTTGGAACTGTTCCATACGCGGTCTGTAATCTTGGATGTTGTATTTCTGAATCTCTTGGATATGGTGGTATGTTTGTGGATAGTACATCCGTTTTGCACTGTTTCCTCTTATGTTAGCGTAGGATAATCGAGAATCAAAGAAAAGAAGCTTACTATTTCCAGGCGAAATCCCTAGTTAAACACAGGGCCGGAAGAATAATAACCATAGCCCAGAAGACCGGGGATGTAATTAGCTTTGCCAGAATACCTTGATACTCTGTTGAGAAACCAAGCATTGGGGCGACTGTCGCATAGGCGGGCATGAAGCCCATCCAAATGAGCATAGACCCAGGAATCGCCATCACGGTATATTTTGTCCAGAGATTTGTGACTAGAGCAGCTTTTCCGAGCACGGTTGCAAGAACTGCAGTGTATAATGCCGTACCCCAAAGCCAATGCCCAGCAGTCTGGCCATCACCCATAGGAAGATCGTAGAGGAAGATCAATTCAGAGAAGATGTAGAGGATAAGTGAATGATAGAAACCGTTGACCAACCAAGCCCAGAAGCTGCTTGTTTTGAACTATATATCCAATCAGCACACTAGATCGTTTCTTATCATCTAAATTCCAACTTACAAATTGTCCTTTCTGCCCAAGTTGATACAACTGCGGGTACCGATCCAATAATCTAGCACTTATGAATTGATCGAAGATACCCATTACCAATGGCGGTAACACTGTGAAAAACACGTTATAGAAAGATAAAGTCCACGACTCGTAGATAACCTGTCCAGAAAATGCGTTTTGAAACGAAAACTACCCACCCAACTATAGTCAGTTCCGGCCTCCATGTTGTATGATTTCTTCTTTTAACTTACCCAAAATTGTGTCATGTAAAGCGTGATATTCTTATAGAAAGAATACAAGATAACTTTACTAATCCTCTGGTAACTCCAAGCTCCATGAACAAGTAACAGTTTCCTTAGGAACCTAAATTGACCAATTGCAACATCTGCGCTACGAGCTGCTTGAAGACCTTCTACACCACTGATACCAACACCAACATGGGCCGCCTGGATCATGGAGACGTCATTTGCGCCATCGCCGATTGCAAGCAGGATAGCCTTCAAATGACGTTTTACGAGCTTAACAACAAGAGCCTTTTGGAGAGGGGACACACGACTAAACCAATGATTAAAATAACCCGAAAATATAGTTAGGTAGAGGCTTCTACTCACCAACAGATGACAGCCTTGCACATAACCGCCAAATCGAGAAAAACCTTTTCAAGTTCCCGTTCAAGTGCAAAAGTGAGAGAGCGACCATCGATAACTAGTGCCAACGCTTCTAGCTCACCGCCGGCATCCTTTTGCGATTTAACAGCATTTAGCTTCTTCGTCAAAGAGTCTCGCGTGTCCTGCATGTTGTCCTCATTGACGATTATCAATGTCATATCCTCGCTGATAAGCTTACAACTCATTCCAATATTGATAGCAGTTTCCTGTCGGTCACCAGTCAAGACCCTGCACAAAAAAACTAGTCAGCTTCATCCTTCAGTTATTAGTCCTAGATTTCATACCAAATTTTAATTCCAGCGGTCTGAAGGGTATGAATAGTATCAGGTACACCATCCTGTAACTTATCCTCAATAGCCGTAGCACCTAATAGGTAAAGGTCTTTTTCAATCAGCTCCGCAGCTTTATCAAGTTCCTCTCCTCGATTGTTGATTGTTGTGGCAGCTTTATCGTAGATTGCGCTCCATTGGCGATATTCTTCATCTGGAATTTCCCTCATTGCCAAACAAAGTGTTCTAAGACCTTCAGTAGCATAATCCTCAAGATGTTGGAGTGTAGCCTCAACCATTGGGTTGTCCTTGTGCAGCCTTTCCATGATGACCGTATCAGCACCTTTGCAGTAGATCCGAATCTTTCCATCAGGGCAACGAAGAACCGTTGACATGCGCTTCCGGGTAGAGTTGAACTCGCAGATATTAAGCATCTCATACTCGTATTCCTTGCCGCCGACCATGATCGCAACAGAACGGGGCTTTCGTGCAATGAACCGATATCCTAGCTGAACAGCGCCCTCAACCAATGCACCTTCGTCGGGAGACGCGGCCTGATACTTGATTTCGTTGGGCTTATCTTCCTTTCTCTCCGGAATGACAGTGTGGCAAGTTGCAAGGAGTGTGAGAAAATGATGCATTACTTCACGACTCGAATGAGTCTTTAGATTCTCAGCAAGCCTAGCAAAATCATGAATTCCAACTTCAACGCCGTCTTGAACTGTAGCACGACGGTCTTCCGGGACCTCGTCAGCATAACAGATACCCCCGATTGAACATTGCTTGAATTCCATCATATTGCAAGTAAGGGTTCCAGTTTTGTCAGAGAAGATGTATTCGATTTGGCCAAGTTCTTCAACTAAACTCGAGGTGCGGCATACAGCGGGGGTGTCGGTTTCAGCGTAGTAGATGTCGAGGTCGGAGTTGATCAGGAAGGCATGATAGTATTTGACGACTTCAACAGTCACGAACAAACTACAAGATCATCAGTTGAGTCTCGGAAGTATGATATTAGGGATTTACCTGATGGGGACTAAATTGGAGTATAGGACCCAATACGTGAGGATATCGGCGAAGAATTGTTTTACTCTGTTGTTGTTTTCAAGATATAGATAAGACATTGTTGAGCTCGCAGTTGACTGCCAGAGACCCTTAGCCCCCACACCCAAATGAAAGGGGTATTGAATCCTCCACAACTCACCTGTTTGATAACATCACCAGTAGAAGAAACTAAAGAAAGTATCAAAAGAATAGAAACCAGCATAATGATCTGAACGTTTAAGGTTCTCTCCACAGCCGTTCTCTTAATTGGCGTAGCAGTCGCGTTCCTCATAAGCTTCGTTTCATGACCCGTAAACACAACAACCCCATGAACCCACGGTGTGTTTCTCAATGTAGCTCCTCTGAGCAGCAATTGTTCAGGACTTAACGGGAGTTCCTTCTCACCACCTCCAACGTCAATGGTGAGTGTTGCTTCATAGGTGTATAAACTAGAATTAGGTTGTTCAGACCTGATTCTTCCTGACAGTCTACTCAAATCGCCCGGAGACACAAAACCAGCAGTTTCCGGGATTGCTTGTTTAATTTTCAAGTTAGTTTCACCGTCGAGATTGGCAGTTTCGATATAACACAATCCTTCAGGCTCGGAGGAGGCCATGAGTACTAAATCTGCTGGGAATGGCTCTTCAGACTCCACTCGAACGATATCTCCCACACGAACGTTGATCCAGCGCTGGGTTTCAAACGCCGTTCCTATTAAAACTCTAGCTTTCGAGCGATTCAGTTCTGTATCTTGAGTTTTACGTTTCCAATCTTCAATCAGCTCCTTTCCCGCTGATACTATAAGCACAACAATCAGTGGCCCAATAGTCGTATATCTATTTGTTGGGGAAATGTTTGGAATTTGCTGTAATCCGGCAGTGAATAAGAAGAACAAGTTTGCATACTTGCTAAACTGTTCGTAAAGAAACTTTGGAATAAACGTAGCAATATTGTACTTTGCAGTTGAAACGTGGTTGTCGACATATTTGTTGACTGCATTTGCAGGAGGATTATTGAGATGAATAACCCTGGGCCCGAGTGTCGATGGATCTACTTTCTTCCCCCCAAACCCAAATGTAAACTTGCTTCCGCTATTCCGTCTCTTTCTTGTACTTGGAGCTCCACCCGGAGCTGGCGAACTGCCAATAGGCGTAGCCTCCGTTAACGGCAGATCCATCTCACTATACTCCTGGTTCATTCCAAAGGCGCTCTTAACCCTTCCGACCACTCCTCCGTACGCGCTCTGCCGATTTGCACCCCCGACATCACTATGGTCGTCAGTCGCACTCGCATATTGATATCCACTTGCCGGACGGCTCCCACTATCATGACCCAAATCATCGGCTTCATCATAGTAAGGCTGATAGTGACCCAACTCCCTGGTCTGGCTATATGTTCTTGTAGCAGGACTCAGCTGACTAGCAACGGATTGCGAGTACACCGCCGAAGATCCCGCCGTATTCCCATTTACAAAATCATCATACGAGACCGAAGGTCGCGACTGATATTCAACATTTGTGTCGATTGCTGGCCGACCTGGATTGCCATAATTACGACCGTGATCGTCTAGATCAAGAAGCAGGTCGTTATTGCTCGAACTACCCGCCATCTAATGGCGTTTTTGCCCCGGACGAACCGTGCGAGAAGGATGATGTAAGGTGGGGTATTTGGTGTATTTGTGTAGTTAAGGTGGTTTGTGAATTGCGGATCGCTTGATGCTGCAGAAAGGGAAAGGGTACGGAGGGGAGATGGTTGGTGTGTCGGAGGCGCAGGAAGCTGGGACGCTGTTTTGGGGTGTACTAATTTAGTAGCAGATTTCAGTTGATGAGGACGTAGGGTTGAGGGTGAATCTCATCGCAGGGCAACTTTTTCTGGGGTGAGACGTTGGTGACAGCGGCGAAGGGATGATGACGGGGTGATTGAGGGATGCCTTTTGAAACTTAGGAGGACCAGCTAGAATAATGGTAAAGTGGATAAATGGTCAAGACAGAGCGATAGGGGGAGGGTGATGTGGGCTGGGGGCTGGTGGTGAAGGAGGTAGGTAGTCGCAGAGAATGGGAAACGGAAGTCTCTAAGAAGATGCAGAGGTAGTTACTCGTTGCTGCTTATTCCTGGATGCGGTTTGACGGGAGAGTCTAATAATCTTGTAAGAGCAAGTAGATTTGAATTGCCTGTCTGTGTGCGCCACGGTGAAGCTCTCTTTCAGCTCTCTGACCTTTCTTGCTTTTTCTAGCCTAAGGGGCCTTCGCTTTCCTCCCCAAGAACCGTGCTCTATCTCATATCATACCTATCGTGATAGAAACCTAGATAGAATACGCATCCTACCTTGGTAGACATCTGTTTCTCATTTCTCATCAGCTCGCCCTATTCTATCAAATCATAAATTCCCTCGAACCCGTACCGCTGCTCTGCATGGTCCGTTTGGGACTGATTGTGGCTGAGGCAGCGAGCCGCTTGTCTATTTTTGGTCCGCTGACAGCAGACACAACGCAGTGCCCACCTGCGCAGATGTTAATAAGCCTGCTTGTTGATCGGTATGCTGATAATTATAATATTATGAGCAGTTTTCTAAGTAAAGTAGATAACACCTGAACTTTGTCCAAATAACAGGCCCCAGAATTCCTCAGTTAACTTTTTCGAGAGCCTCAACTAATATTTGCACATGTTATAGGATCGCTACCCTACCCAGACATCGTGGGGTCTCGGTCACTCTGTAACGTTCAAGCCAAGAAAAGGGGGATTGGGAATTTCATGGTCACGGGTATCCAGGCGATTTGACCCTGCATGAAACTCAAGTCAAAGCCTCAAAGGAAAATGTCATGGAGATCGCCGTGGCCATAGTCAGCAAATTATCGACATCAAATATCTAAATGACACTCATTTCATTGTCACAATTCGGCTGGATATGTTTAACACGAAACAATTGTAACTTGTCCTATGTTTTTATGTCTTTATGCATTTAATATTTCTTTCCAATATTCGCTCTGTAAGTTGATTACATACAGCAACCGTTATCCCAAGTTCCCAAGTGATTCAAATTGCCCATGTAGTTAGTCTCTTGGCTCCTTGGCATGGGTAAGTACATGTATATAATGCATCCCCTCACAAAAATCTTCTCTTCTTTTTTTCCTTTCTTCTCCAGGCACCAATCCTTATCGTCCTTCTCGTGTTTTCTTCCACTCGATTAGAACCATTAATAGGTTGCCTAGATCTAGGGCCATTGCCTCGCAAAATTTCGCTAACAATATCTTAAATTCATCCAAAAGATATAAGTTTGGTACGTTTAAATTTCCCCTTCTGCTCGACCGATTCTAAAAGCGCAATTGCTAACTATATTTTCGTGGGATTTACAGATAGTAGTCTTGCGGACATATATATATGTACTTTGCCGTACCGTACGTTACGTACTGTATTTACAAAATATATAAATAAATACAATTTATTCCAGCTCACGCCGTGACCATAATCCTCAAAAGCAAATTCTCAAATGCGCCCTTTCACTTCCTTGTTCGTGAAATTATCAGTGAAATTAATCTACCTCTCATCGTGAACTGATAGCCTTCTCAATCCTCGCTCTATGTTTCTCCCCCAACCTCTCATCTAAAAAATTAATTGTGACCCCACAACCTAGCGGCGGAAGTCCGTCATCATCCCTCAGCCCTGCCCACAACCACTCCACACATTCCCTCGGAATTGTAACCTCTCCCGAGAACTCTTCCAAGAAGCGATCAAACGAATGATGGGTTTCCGAGTACCTCATGCGCTCCGATATGATTGACGGGGTCGCCCAACACTGTACCTTCCGTAGAGCTGTCATTGCAAGTCCCGTAATCTCGGACCCATTAAGGCAATGAACGTAAAGCGGTGAATTTTTAGCCTCAAGGATCACCTATTGTAATGGTTAGTATATGGGGGCACATATGTGGATTGGATCGTACAGATAAGATCTGACAGGCCTCAGTGTGCCTCAACGGCGCGCCCTTTTTCCCGTCCACTTGAGGTTTGATATGCAGCATTACCACACCATTTGCTTTGCACCAATCTGCAGCCTCCCCCACTAACGGTTCCGGAGTGACAGACAGTATTGTCTTCAGGTTCAGTGACTCCAGAAACCTAAAGTTGAGATGGCGCGGGTAAGATCCACGGTAGAGCTTATTCTCCACGACCGAGAACCGCAGCGGTGGGATTACTAGATCTGAAAGGTCAGGACCGTTGCTCTTTATCGAGGTTTTACCGAGTTTAGGCACTGTATAGGATGTGCCAGTTGTGGTGATTCTAGTATCGATAGTAACCGGCATCATGTTGGAGTAGTGGAGAGGTTGATAATATATCTGTTTAGGAGATGGTCATAAATATCAGAAAGGAGGGCAGGTCATGTGAGATTACCTGTATATATGCGAAAAGTACATGTACTCGCTATCATCCATAAGAACCTGAAAATGCAGGTGAATAAGACAGGGATAATTTCTATGGGAGAACGGCGCCACTACATACAAATAATCCTTGTAACTGTCACTTGCATTTTCAGGTTCTTATGGATGATAGCGAGTAGTTAGGTACAGCAAGTATCTTACACGTGAATCACGTGATGGTTGGGGGGGTGCGGGGCCAAGACATAGATGTATCTAGCTATGTGTAGTACACCCCGCGCCAACAAACACGCAGGCCGATTTCTCTGGGCAGATCAGCTCCTGAGCCCGAACTACAGCTCCGAATCTAAATCTTCCTCTATATAAATTGCGCAGCATCATTCCTTTCTTAAAAAATATCCAATTTATTTTTAAAATGCAGTCCGGAATCACAGGTTTGAATACTATCTCCCTAGTTTCCCCTAAGGTCTACTATGTAGACCTCTACCTGGACCAAAACTAGAAACCCCTAACTAACCACCTATCTCCATAGCCTCTGCCGAGCTCCTCTCGACCTTCCAAAACCTTGTCTCAACTCCCTCTCTCCGGGGCCTCATAGTCTCCATCGAAAAAGAGACCCTTGTCCCGCGAGAGTCGCTCTCCTCTACTGGTAGCTTCGAATCCGACCTCTCCCAGCTCGACGCCCTCCTCAAAGACAATGAAGCTGCATATATTATTCTGCGGCGCCGAGAGGACACGGACCCAGCTCCTTTCATCTCAATTGCATACGTGCCCGATAGTGCCAATGTACGGCAGAAGATGCTTTTCGCCAGCACAAGGAACACCTTGCTACGGGAACTGGGGACAGAAAGATTTGGAGAGAGTATTTTTGCCACGGTAAAGGAGGAGCTTACTGCAGAGGGATTTAAGAGGCATGATGCGCACGAGGCAAAGTAAAGCTCTCCTTGTAACGTTCTTCGAGTTTCGAGGAGCTAATGAGTATAGGCCCGCACCGTTGACAGAGGAGGAAATGACAATGGCCGCTGTCAAGGAGGCCGAGTATGAGGCGTCTACTAGCACCAGTGCGAGAAAGTCTCACGTTAGTAGCGGGATCAAGTTTCCCGTGAGTAATGAGGCAATTGAGGCGTTAACCAATCTCCCGGGAGGCTTCATCACCCTGGTGCAACTTGTAAGTTGTCCTGCCACCACTTATAAATGTCGGCTAACAGGGCACAGGCGATCAACAATGAAAAAGAGACTATTGAGCTCGCAAATGCCAGCTCCTCCGCCATAAATGACTTCACACACGTTATCCCTGATGACGCCCCACGTTACTCCTTCTTCCGGTTCAATCACACGCATGAAGGGCAGCAAGAATCCCCCATCGGTCTGCACTCTCACTCTCGGCCCTAACTGGCTCTCCTTATTTCACCTATAATTAAACTGACAAAACCAGTCTTCATATACACCTGTCCCACCTCGTCCAAAATCCGCGAAAAAATGCTATATGCCTCTTGCCGCTCCAGCGTCGTCAACGCAGCAATCAACGAGGCGCACCTACACATCGAGAAAAAACTTGAGGCTGCTAGCGCAACTGAGATTGGTGAGGCCCAGCTGTTGGAGGAGTTCCATCCGAAGGTGGAACAGAAGGCGAGCTTTAAAAGACCGGCGAGACCGGGGAGGAGATAGGGTGCAGTGCCTGCGTAGTATTAGTTTTAGACACCCGGTAGGACTCTAGATAGGTTCAATTCGGGCAAGCATCGCCATCGCCAGCAAAAGCGCTTAGATTAGAGTTAAGGATCTTTGTTTTTCGTGATGCAGTGATGTACATGCCCCCACTATCAGCAGCTCTCTCACTTCGACGCATCATGAACGGCCTTGCAGCTAATTACACCTTTGACTATCCTTCTAATATCCTCTATCATCCAATCAACATCAAACAGTCTCTCAATTTCTATGAGGTAGGGCTCACTGAGCATCTCAATCGCCTGATAAAGTGTCTTCACCAGTGACATCAGCCTCTCCGCAAATTCGATAATTTTTTGGTTTTTCGAGAATGGCAATCTATCGGCAACAATCAAGCCCTTGTAGCCCTTCTTCGCACCATCAGCAAGGTTCTTGCGACTAATCGTACCCTTAATTGCAATCTCAATGTCCTCCACCATCCAATCGACCTCAAAGTACGCCTCAATTTGTACAAGGTGCGACTCGGGGAGTACTTCAATAGCCTTACGAAGTATTCTTAAAAACCTCACCAATCGCTCTGTGAATTCGACAATCTTTCTCGGGACCGTGAGTACTGCTTGTGTATGTGTTTGCGTCCCCTTGTCTACCATCTCAGCATGATGAAATGACGAGCTCTCGAGGCCCAGGCCACGCTTGTCTACCGTTTCAGAATGATGAAATGACAAGCTCTTGAGGCCTAGACCACGCTTTAGAGCCTCGTTTTTCAGTGTAGCCTCTGCCCTTCTTGGCTGGGCCTCTTCGGGGGTTAAATCGGGAAGCACGAAATCCGGGGGAAGGTTGGAAACCGCCGGGGAGTTCTTCTTGATCCTCCTCCTCTTGGTTTCATTCGAATCATTCTTGATCTTCCTCTTCTTGGTTTCGTTCGAATCATTCTTGGTCTTCGAATTCGTAACAGCGCCCCTCAAGCTGCCATACCTTTTCAGCTTTTTAATATCTTGATCAGCCTCCTCCTCCTCCTCCTCCTCCTCCTCCTCCACCTTGATGTAGGCGGCAGGCATAGTGCCCTGCTTATTTCCACCTTGAAATCTCTCTGCGGCCTCCTTCCATTTCTCTCCCTCCTCGCAGTCTGCAATCAGCTTGATCTTCTTCAGTCTGGGCTCCCCCGGGCCCCCAACTGTCGCGTATAGCTCGTCAGGCTTGGTCTCAAGGGGTAGCCCTGGTGAGTCGTCCACTATGTCATAAGATATATATGGTGGTAACACCAACGGGCCCAATGGTGGGATCCCCGTATACGATCGGCCGGCTGCTAACTTTTTAGCAACACTTAAGTGTATCACGGATACGTTTAAATTAGGGGTGGGGCTGGAGCTCGATGTGGAGGTGGAGGTGGAAGCGGCGTAGCGGTGGACTCGAGGCATTTGATCGCGCGAAGTACGTGGATTGGAGGTGGAGGTGAACGCGGAGGTGGAGGTAGACGTGGAGGTGAACGCGGAGCCTGTAGGGGCGGTGGTGGGTTGTTTACATCAGGGCAACGCGACTTCGCGCGAAAGCTCATGCGTTTCCATTATAGACCGTGATTCGCGGGAACAGACGAAGGGATACCACTCGGGTGCTAGTCTCGTACCCATACCCTACGAGCTGCTGGGTACGAGCCTACTTGGGTGCATGATTAGGATCATGAGAAAGCACTCGTCTAATATACCTACCACTACCGGCCGCCGCCAAGGCGAACAACCTCGGCTCCCCGTGGTTCCCCAGACCCTTGGCCATACAGAATCTATCACGAGCTCAGGGCTGGTTACACCTCGGGGCTGCAATCAACATAAGTACTGTACCTACTTCCCCAGATTCTGTCCAAATCTCCAACCCTCGCACTAAATATACCTAGTCATAACAACATACCTTTCGTTCTTGATCACGGAGCGTTGTTAGGCCCTGGTTTAATCTGCTATAGCTACTTTCTAGAAACTCCAAGGGTCAGTTCGTAACCCATTCTTTAACAGGTTTTGACTCTGATAGCAGTATTGAATTTCTTCTTATAGTTGAATTTTTGATATCATCACGTCTGCTTTCTCGTGATTACTATATACCTCACGCACGAACGAACGATGGTTTTTAGAACAGCCTTGACAGAAGCTCTTGGGATCGCCAGTAAGCTCGTAGCTACATCACCAGCTCTATAGTTACTAACAGGTACTCTTAGTCCCGGTGGTCCAAGGGGGAATGCAATGGGTTGGCTACGCAGAGCTCGCATCGGCTGTCTCTAACGCTGGAGGGCTTGGAATATTAACGGCGCTTACTCAGCCCACGCCTGAAGATCTCCGAAAGGAGATTAATAGATGTCGAAAAATGACAACCAAGCCGTTCGCTGTTAATATCACCCTTCTACCTAGCTTGGTTCCCCCAGATTATGGCGCATACGCGCAGGTCGTTATCGATGAGGGTATTAAAATCGGTATGCCAACGGAGCTGAAACTACTATTACTACAAGGATCTCGCTAACAAAGAGTAGTCGAGACCGCGGGTAATAGCCCGGGGCCGATAATCAAGCAACTCAAGACCGCAGGAATCAAAATTCTTCATAAGTGTACAACTATTCGTCACGCTCTCTCTGCAGAAAAGCTTGGGGTCGACTTCCTTTCCATTGATGGTTTCGAGTGTGCCGGCCATGTTGGCGAAACTGATATTACCAATTTTGTTCTACTCCGTCGTGCTATGCAGTCTCTCAAAACTCCATTTATTGCCTCTGGTGGATTCGCGGATGGTGAAGGTCTTGCTGGCGCGTTGGCACTGGGAGCTTGCGGGATAAACATGGGGACCCGGTTTATGTGTACAGCCGAAGCGCCGATCCACAATAACATTAAGCAAGCTATCGTTGATGCGAGCGAGGATCAGACTGAGCTATTGCTCAGAAGATGGAGAAATACTAGTCGATTGTATAAGAACAAGGTCGCAGTCGCGGCGAAGAAGATCGAGCTTGAGAGCACAACTGGAAAGTTCGAGGAGATTGCGCCGTATGTGAGTGGGAAGAGGGGAAGACAAGTGTTTATTACAGGAGATGTCGACGAGGGTGTAAGTTTTTCTCTCTGGGGGATACCGGTAGTTATGTATGAGTGATTGATACTGATTGGTTCGGTTTTTAGGTATGGACTGCTGGTCCAGTCATGGGTCTTATTCATGACATTCCAACGTGTGAAGTCCTGTTGAAGAGGATAGAGAAGGAGGCAGAGGACTCTATCAATAGAATAAGCTCCTTGATGGTACCTTCCAAGTCTAAGCTTTAGAGAAGTCTGGGGTAGCTGTAGTTTAGTTGTTTCAAGTCGCGTTTCTGCATAGGTTGTAATTAGCCATTAACCATTTGAACGTTTATCAAGGGGAAAAGTAATCTCTCATCACTACGCCCCGGTGTATGGCTCCAGCCAGTCATATAATGATCTCCCCCATTTGCGGAACTATGTATTTCGTGGCCGCCTCTTTGTTATGTAGTTATAGAGGATGTGTATATTACAAATGTTATGAAGGCGCTTTGCTGGCGAGTGTCTCACTAAGCTACATGCTTCCAGTGTATTAATCTGGAGTCTCCCAACCAATATCTACCAATATCCAGTACAGCTGTACATACATATATCCTTCGCCCAACCACCTATTCCAACTCTCTAAAAGGAAACATCGATCTGTTGGCAAAAAGTCCTGCGATTATCCCAGTACAATTACCCCTTTTCTCAAGACGCCGGGTAGCAAATACACAAATGCGGCATACCCATCTACTCGTACAACAACCCAACATTATTATGCTAAGAAACGAAGAAACAACAACAAGCAGAATAAAAAAGAAGACCCCCTAAGGAAGTTCGTATCTACATCACACAACCCGAACCTGTGGAGAGATGGGAAGAGAAGCAGAATTAATCTGCCCCGGCAAAAAGATCTACAACAACGTTGACGACGGCTACAAGGATTTCTGCCGCAATTAATACGATGACGATCCATTCTAGATGTTCTCCCTGTGAATGGGACATTTGCTCTTTGAGCATTTGGAGCTATGTCACAAACCGTTAGCCAAATAGCTACACATTATAGTAAAAATAATTAGGACGAAAGCTTACTAAGTCTCCAATCACATCTAATCGTTGATTTAAAAGCGAAACTCTTTGATTGATTTCTAGATAACTTCGTGCGGCTTGATAGACTGGGTCTAATTGCGGTTCCTGTAACCAAACTTATCAACATATTGTTCAAGTATAGAAGTAGAAAAATGTAAACTTACTGCCCACATGAGTTCTGGACTGTCTAGCACGCTACCTTGAAGGTTTATATTTATTCGGAGAATAAATAGTTCACCTATATGCTTCATGATATCACGCCTACTCATGTTTACTTTCCCCGTTGTAGCAACATCCTGTGGAATAGATTTTGTATCCTCGATTGTATTATCGACGAGGTCCTCAAATAGCGAGATCTGCAAAACGTGATCTATCAGTAATTATATCCTCCTGGATAAAACACTTTAAAAAAATGCGAAAAGAATTATACCTTCACTGACTGGGCTATAGCATGACTGATACTGAGCTTGATCATGTAATTTCCCCCATCCTTCAGCGTGATGAAGTCGTTATAGATTCTTGGCTGGTACGAGCTTGTGACGTAAAAATTGAAGTTTTCGACCTGTACGTCATCCTCCGCCAGCTTCTCACTCTCGAATTTTGCAATGTCCTTCAAAAACCTCTGCTCCTCGCCCACTGTCATTCCCCAAATTACAACTACTCCGTATTGGTAAAGAAACACCTCGCTTGACACTACCGATTTATTCTGCTCCATCACGAAATTTAGAAGCGACCTATCATCTCTATCGTCTTCCATAATCTCACTCTCTGCACTACCTGTATCGTCCGTTGCGCTGTTTCTTGAATGTTGATCACTGACCAAGTCAATCAGATCATCCTCAGGGATTGTAGGTGGTTGTGGTGCCCGATCATAGTTATAGCTATATGGTGTGTAGATACACTCGTCAAACTGCTTCGGATTTGTTCCCCGTGTACTCTGACGACTTTTTAAGAATTTGAGTAAGTAATCCATTTTGTACGCATTTGCTGTCGCATAAGCTGTTACTCTGGGCAAATGTGCTCTCTCAGCTTTTCCAAGCCGCTCGGCATCTCGACGAGCTGTAGTATCTTTGATTCGCGTAACTTGAGAATACACATCGCGTCCGCTCTCCTCATCCTGGTCTGCGGGACTTGGGAGAATCTTTAACTTTTGCGAAACTTTACTTGTACGCTGGGGACCAATTTTGCTTGGTGGAGCCTGAAACGAGGATGATGGGGTTCCATGTATTGAAGCCGAGCGACGTCGGCCCTTAATTGTAGGTGGTGAAGTTTGGGTAGAAGGTGTTCGGTGGTAGTTAGCCGTTGAGGATGCGGTTTCGGTAGGAGCTGAGGTACCCATTATTGAGGGTGAAGGTTGAGGTATTACTACAGTAGCCATTAGTGTCTTTGTGAGAACCGTGGGTTTACGGGATGATTGATGTGGTGGTGGTAGGTTGTTCCAAAGTTTAAAAAGCTCCTTTTAATGGCTGGGGCTGGAAGTAGACGAGAGCTTCCGAGAGAAATGTGTGAAGCCAATTAGAACTCAACGGGCCGTTAGAACTCTACAGGGGTTACCCGGAAGTAGGAGAGGCGGTACCACGTCATATGCGAGGTCGTTTTCTCTTTCTTAGGTAGTGATCTCTGACGATTTTGTGCCTAGAGCACAATAGGGTTGTCTCTGTGGCTGGTGAGTGATGGAGGGGAGGCTTAGTAATTGAGAAGCCCCGCCAGCCACTCACCACAAGCTTCGTGATAGAGGGTCCCATCCATCCATAGCATCCAACTCCATCATCATCCGCCGTATCATACCCCCACTCACCATCATCTAAATACCCCCCGCTCTTTTACGGCAAACCCATAATCGAATTCGAAAATGTCGGAGGAAGCAGTGCTCAAGGCCGACAAGGATTGTGAGAGCCCTCCTTCCGCCGCAGCCGTTCTGCTATCTTCATTTTTGTTGATGATCCAGCTACTGACATGCCATAGATACCGATATTCTTGATGCCCAGCTTCCGGGAATTTTGGAACTTGCCAAGGTGTGATTCCGTATAGATTATGGCGGAGATGGAGTTTAACTCGGAGCTTACATGTTTATAGACAAACCTTCCAGCGGCTATCGAAAAGCTCCTAGCATTGGAAAAACAAACTAGACAGGTACTATTCCATCTCAAAACCGGTCGCCATCTATATACCAATAAAAACTGACAGTGTTCGGCTCCAGTCCAATGACTTAGCCTCTACCTCTCGACTCCTCATCACCATAGTAACACTATGCAAAGATTCCGGTGACTGGAAACTTATGAACGAGCACGTCCAGATGCTTTCAAAGAAGCATGGACAGCTCAAACAGGCCACTACTAAGATGGTACAGGTTGTGATGGGCTTCTTGGACGAGACTCCGGACATTGACACAAAGCTTTCTGTCATCGAAACGCTGAGGAACGTTACTGAGGGCAAGGTTAGTGATACATGCAAACCTCATTGATGATGTAGCAACTTATGTGGAGACCTAGATCTTTGTCGAAGTTGAGCGAGCCCGTATAACCCGTATTCTTGCGACCATCAGGAAGGAAAGAGGCGACCTTGCTGGCGCCACCGATGTTCTGTGCGAGCTCCAGGTTGAGACCTTCGGATCCATGGATCGGCGGGAAAAGACCGAGTTTATCCTCGAACAGGTCGAGCTTTGTATCGAACGTGGAGATTTCACACAAGCGGCCATCCTTGGGAGAAAGATATCGACAAAGTATCTCAACAATCCCGAGGTCTCGGACTTGAAATTGAAATTCTACGATCAGCAGATTCAACTGGCGAAACAAGATGAGAAGTACTTGGATGTCTGCAAGCATTATAGAGCTGTGTATGATACGCCCAGTGTAGTAGAGGACCCGCTAAAGCTGAAGAGTGTAAGTCCCTATCAGCTCCGAGTAAAAGAGACATCCATCCTTACAAACCATCATAGGTCCTTGAAAGAATCATTTTCTACGTGTGTCTTGCGCCATACGATAATGAACAATCTGATCTCCTTCACCGAATTAATGCCGATACTAAACTTAAGCTTGTCCCAAAGACAGCTAGCCTCCTCAAATTCTTTACTATTTCTGAGCTGATGCGTTGGCCTCTTATTGCCGAGGTTTACGGCCCCGACCTTCGCGCAACTGACGTTTTTGCTATTGGTGATCCTAAAGCCGAAAAGCGCTGGGAAGATCTGAGGAAACGGGTTATTGAGCACAATGTTAGGGTTGTCGCCAAGTACTACACCAGAATCAAGATGGATAGACTAAAGATGCTCTTGGATCTCGATGAAGATGAAGCGGAAAGCTATCTAAGTAAACTTGTTACTCAGAAGACGGTATATGCGAAGATCGATAGACCGGCGAGGGTCATATCGTTCGCCCAGCCAAGAGACGCAGATGATGCGTTGAATGAATGGAGTGCGAATATGAAGAGTCTTCTGGGGCTTTTGGAAAGGATTGATCATCTGATCACGAAGGTATATTGATTTTTGCATTTATTTGGATTTCTCTTATAGTAACTAACTGGGGCGATAGGAGGAAATGATGGCGAACATCGCACCTAAAAAGGGCAAAGGCAAGGCGAAATAAACTCTCCGACCATGCATCTTGAACTTGTGTATAATAGACGGTGATGATTCTGGCTACCACCATTTATATAAAATAAAGGAGCAGCTCGTCTAAACGGAATTGATTCTCGTAGAGGTTTAGAATCTTGATTTTACGTAAACTAAACTTGTAATGACGGTTGAAGACCATGTTTACTGTCTGTTTTTCTCAAAATTGGCTTTAAGATCGATGTCATATGCCACTCTGCTGTAAACCGGTGCTCAAGGTCATTACTCCCCCGTTATGGTTTAGCGCACCTAGAGTGCCAAGATATCGGGGCCTAGCCCTAACCACCGGTCACCTGTCCCACAATGCTAATCCCACTCGCAACCCGAACATTTACAATTTCTACGAAATTTCACACCTCGCACCACGACGCAGCGATTCCCACCCCCCCACACCCTTTAAATCTACCCAAAAACAATCCCCAACCGGAGTACTTTATCAACAAAAAAAAAGTGCAGAGATGGGTATGTCGTCCTCCTTTCCGGCAATTCGAGAAGAAGAAGGAGCGTGAAGGAAAATGCTGACAGAGCTCGCAATGAAGCCCCCATAAAGAAGACCAAGAAGACCGCCGACTCCATCAACTCGCGCTTGGCGCTTGTGATGAAGTCCGGAAAGTACGTGCTCGGATACAAGTCCACCCTCAAGACCCTCCGTTCCGGAAAGGCCAAGCTCGTCATCATTGCCGGTATGTTTCCCCCCGTTTTGGTTTGAAGGATGGAGGGAGACTGATGGGTTTTGTTAGGAAACACTCCTCCTCTCAGGAAGTCCGAGCTCGAGTACTACTCCATGTTGGGCAAGTGCAACGTCCACCACTTTGCCGGAAACAACGTAAGCAGCGCCCCTTCCTCTATTTTGGTAGCTTTGGGACGGGTTTTAGTTGCACGGCGGGGGGTGTTGGGGTGGGGTGGGCTTGGGGAGTAGAGTGTATGGTGTCCATGGTGCCGATGTGATAGTATCTTGAAGGGGAATGCACATGGTGGTCGTGGTGGCCCTACTAGATCCACCATCTCCCTCTACTTCCTCCTCCCACTCTCCCCCGCGGTGCAATACGCGGAGAGGCATACACAAGGACCAACATCCTTGTGGCGCTCTCTGCTCCCTGAGAAGAAGCAAACCCACTCTCTGCTTCGGAGGGAAACAGTGAAAGATTGCTGACACAACTCTTTGCGTGATATAGATTGAGCTCGGAACTGCTTGCGGTAAGCTCTTCAGGTGCTCTACCATGGCCATTCTCGACCAGGGTGACTCCGACATCTTGTCTTCCAACGCTTAAATGGAATTGATGTGGGATGGAAAATGAGATAAAAAAAATTAAAAGAAATAAGGGGTATATAGAATTACGTTTAATGGGATTCTAGTTCTTCGGCAGTTTTTGGGGCTTTGGGTTTAGTTTGGCGTTGTGAATTGTGTTGTGAATTGTGTAGTGTGAACTGTGTAGTGTGCTGTGGAGATGTGCGAGACCAGAACGAAACCCTCCCATCGTAGTTCCCAATCTCCATCTCAGAAACAAATGGTTCAGAAGAGCGGTAAAGGCTCCCATCAGACTACAGCCGTCTATGAGCACTGCAGTTTGAGCCATCACGTACGAAAGTAGTCCGAACCTGCTACGACGATTTCGAGCCAGTTCAATCGTGTGTGGGCTAGGAAACGATTACATACGGAATACGGAGCCATAAAGGTTGCCTTGGATGTGTTCAGCGCGTGATCTTATTACGTTTTACCCTGTATTCAAAGCAATTACAGTAAGACATATTTTAAAAGGGCTATTTAATTTACAATTGCAAGAATCTATGAACGTGAAGCACCAGTGCTCACCCGTCTACGTAAGATTCTGCATCATCCATCATCACCCGTCCACGCGTGCAAATCCTCACAACCAAACTAAAACCCACAAAAACACCATCTTCTTTCATCACGCCCTCGCATAGCAGCCAGGAACGCAACGAAAAGAAAAAAAGCATTTCGCGTCAACTGGAGGCAGTGTAATACCAGTGACACAGTGGGACACGTCGATGTGCAAGCACAGAGCCACGGTCCCGGGGCAAACAAAAATAAGTATAATCAATAAATGGTTCCATAGAACCGTTTCAGAGATTAAACTGAAAAGAACAGATACTACACTTGATCTAAGCCACTGTGAGGGGGTTAGCTGACGCTCGAGATAGTAGAGTAAAGGCAAATGTTGGGGGTAGACTTACAAAGGCAAAGAGAGCTGGGGAAGTAAGAGGGACGAGGGGGAGGGGCCGCTATATAGTAGAGGAGGACTTGGCGCCGAGGGGAGATTTGGCCGAAGGGGGGGTGGGGCAGAGGTGGTATTTAGGGCTGTGGGTTTGGGGTTTAAGGAGCGGATAGGTGGTCTGTGGGTGCACCGTGCAGGTGCGTCATGGTGGTTGGGTTGGGACACGGTTATTAACTTTGGTGCTATCTCAGTGTTTGAAATTGGGTCTTGTGGAGCTTTGGACAAAGCACTTACAACAGCTACGTGTTATAATCACATGTGCAGTTAAGCATATGTGTTAGCTTCAATACATCAAGTACATGTATTTCATTATCGCTCTCATGCTTCTTCATCCGAGCAACAGAGCAAAAGAGCCAGAGCAATCTTCCTGGGGCCAATTCAGACCTCAGATAAAAGAACTCGAACATCAACAATCTGAAAACGGAATTGACTCTGAGCGCTCGTTGAGATATCCCACAATATCTAGATGATCTGTGTCTCTATCGAATGCTTCTTTGGTTTCTATCTACTCGACACTTCTAGTTTTAACTTTTA